ATGAAAGAAAAAAATTTTAAATTTGAGTTCCTCACCTTTGAAGGCACGGAACTTCTGTCCGTACAAGGATCTGCGAAAACAAAAGCCTATGACAGAAAATAGAAGAAACGGGCTTTCCGATAGTTCAAATGGTTTTGGAGAAAAACGATTTTTGATTGAAAACTAGCGTTTGAAAGAAGAGGTAGGAAAAACGTGCATTAATTATGAACCAACCTAATATGTTCTTGCAAGAAAACATCTACAATGCGCATTTCAAGTCAAATCCTTTCACCGATTGCGTAATAAGGTTGTAATAGGCTAGCATACGCACAAATTCAGTTTTATGAAAAAAAAGTCTTGCTAGTAAAATTCATTGTCAAACATTAATTTTCCGTATAGATGTTTTACAAGCTATAACTTTCTGCGAATAAAAGTAATCGACGACTTCAACGTTGGGGGTGCTAGGGCAAAGCAAGAGCTAGCAGGGCTCATCCATCGACTTCTTTTCGGCGCTCACGTCAATTGTAAAATTTTCATAATTCGTAAATATGCATGCACACATGCGCTGAAGCAAAGTCAAAAAGTGGCTTCTTTCTTGCTTGGTCAAAAAAATCTCTCGGCAACACAGACCCTATGGGCTCTTTTATGGTGCAAAATAATCTACGAACAGTTCTTTATCTATCCACTGTTAGACAAGATGCCTATCAACTCTCATAAGGGAGCATTGCGTTACCTGACATGCTGATTAAGAAAATGACCCTCATTTTGCTTAGGACCTCCTTCTTATGCGTATGGTAGGTGAACGGTAATTCGGAGGGTCTGCTGACGCAACTCCAGGGGGGGGGGCTTATTTGGCGGACGCGTGCCACACTCCTGCTCGACCCTTGCTACGAGAGGTTTGACCATTTACAATACTCTCATCATTACTTATAATAACGGGTAAGGATGTTTACGTGACTTTATGTGTGTGTATGTGTGTGTATGTATGTGTGTGTATGTGTGTGTATGTTTGTGTGTATGTGTGTGTGTATGTGTGTGTATGTGTATGTGTATGTGTGTGTGTGAATGTGTGTGTATGTGTGTATGTGTGTGTATGTGTGTGTATGTGTGTGTATGTGTATGTATGTGTATGTGTATGTGTATGTGTATATGTATGTGTATGTGTATGTGTATGTGTATGTGTATATGTACAGTCGAGTAGATTCAGCGGTAAATATAGTGTGCTTGCACAGAAGGTGAAATGCGGTAAAATTGGCGCGTGAAGAAATAGCTCCGACTGTGACGCCGGCCAAATTGCGCGCGCAAAATACCCGCAGTAGTTGGCGTGGCTACTTGTTCACGCGCAAATTTCACCGCATTTCACCTTCTGTGCAAGCACACTATATTTACCGCTAAATCTACTCGACTGTACAGTCTGCCCCAATCGGGATCAGGCCGAACCGTCGGCTGAATTAGCGCGCTCGCAGCGCTAGGGGTTTGCGCTGCATACGCGCGCTGTCGCAGGGAGCGAAGAGATTGAGGAGAGAGCAGACTAGCTACACGCAGAAGTGGAGCGAAACCCTCGCGACGCGCACTCCCGCCAAGCCAATTTTGGCCTGGTTAGGATTGGGGCAGACTGTATGTGTATGTGTATGTGTATGTGTATGTGTATGTGTATGTGTATGTGTATGTGTATATGTATATGTGTATGTGTATATGTGTATGTGTATGTGTATGTGTATGTGTATGTGTATGTGTATGTGTATGTGTATATGTGTATGTGTATGTGTATGTGTATGTGTATGTGTATATGTGTATGTGTATATGTGTATGTGTATATGTGTATGTGTATATGTGTATGTGTATATGTGTATGTGTATATGTGTATGTGTATATGTGTATGTGTATATGTGTATGTGTATATGTGTATGTGTATATGTGTATGTGTATATGTGTATGTGTATATGTGTATGTGTATATGTGTATGTGTATATGTGTATGTGTATATGTGTATGTGTATTTGTGTATGTGTATATGTGTATGTGTATATGTGTATGTATATATGTGTATGTGTATGTGTATGTGTATGTATATGTAGAGAATGGAATGGAATCAGCACTCTAATTAACTCATCTTTAGTTCTATTTTAGGGGTGAAATTTGACCATTATTCACTCAGAACCCTCCTGTTCCAACCATAATCCTACAGTAATGAAGAGGGATTTTTATTTACATCATACTGTAAATATAATTGCTGGTCAAAGCCAGCTCACAAAAAGTGCCTAAAGCTTCTCAGAAGACTTCATTACAAGAGAGTTATTAACAATCAAACAGTAAGCACATCTTTTGGGACACCTTGCAATCCATAACAAGGTATAATTTGTGAAAAGATACTGATAATGGTATAAAACTGCAAACATAACATAACAGTGGATCTTTTGTGAATCATAATTTTGAACGATCTGAGTTGGAAACTGGAAACAGTAGTGAAATCTGAAGCTCTCATCACTTGAACCCTCACCTGATCTACTAGCCAACCATAGGTCAATGCATGATAAGCCGCTTTTGATCCTGGTGGGAACTTCGGCGCTTCCTGTTCAATGATTGTAGCCATACGTAGACCATCGGTAAGATCAGCAAGGGTGAGAACTCGATCGAAGTGAGGGAGGCCCGCCTGAGAGTAATTAATCAGACGAGTATACATCTTATCATTAGTAACAGAAATTTATGGACTTTGCAAAAATAAGCTTTGATCTACAATACCGCTCAGAATGTGCAAAATTTCCGTGAATATCGCGGATTCCAGAAATTCCGCCGTAGTCCGCGACATTCCCGGAATTCAGTGAAAAAATTTTGCACATTCTGTGAGTGGTGTTGTATATATAGCTCTAAAAATAATCTGCCTTGAAATCTAAAAAACCATAGAGCCCAGTTTATTCATTATTCTCTCTGTATTGTGATTTCATTTTCACCATTTTGCCCAAATTCCGGCCAGTGCTTTGTAACTTAATCTGAGTAGCTACACAAGCCACGATCAACGAGTAATGTCATGCATATTGCTGCCACACTCTGAAATTGTCATACTAGACTGCATTCTCCAATCTGAATCCCTTCTTCAAAACTGAAGATTGATTCTAGAATGCTGATTTTACACAAGCACAAAATTCAAGAATGCCTTCGTAAACTTATTCATCGCATTCTTAAATTACAGGGTGTGGAAAAAAATACTGTCCCTCAAAATATAGTACGAAAAGTCGGCGTAATTCACAGATTTTTCTGGTAAATTTGACATAATTCCCAAGATGTGGATATATTTTAGCATTTTACAAAAACTGGCCTCAAAATTCTATAAATGGACCCGGCGGCGGATCCCTTTTCGCAGTCCATTTCATATCAAATCTTGCATCTCCTCATTACAGATGTGAAGAAGTGTGAAGATTTTTGGGAAATTTTTTTTGTTTGTCACTCGAAATTGAGAATTCTTCTACTGGTTAAGAAATGTGGTAGTGGATACCGAAATATTCCGAGAGTAGCCAGTCAGCAATTGCACTAGTAGAAAAGCTGTGAATTTTTCTAACGAGGAAGTGGCTGCGGCGCAGCAGAGTGCGTTCAGAAAACGTGGCACAGAGACTAGGCATAATTGTTTATCGCTCCAAAATCGTGCTGTAGACAAAGTCCGATGCTCTTTCCATTATTCCTGTCACTTTTTGTTGTAATCTGGAACTTCGAAGCATAGTACAGATCCAATTCGTTAAGCAAGCGCAGTCCTGACTCCTTTTATCTAGACTAAACTGATCGTTATTGAAAAATGTAGTTTAAAGCTGCGAAAAGAATCTGTCAAGTGCAGAATGCTAACATTTATGAGAAAATGCATTAATTAAGCACGTTTCTGGGCGACACCTAAGAATAAACGAAGAGCACAGAGTACAACACTTACAAATTTCAAAATATCTCAGAGTAGGAGCACAAGATTTTATTACATATTTTGATATAACAAAATGTAATTTTCTTTCACAGGAAAGAAGATACAGAACGATTTCAAAGCACATGACTTCACTGAAGGTACGGTAATCGAGATATTACACGCACTTCAGTGCATCCAATGAGGTGTTTGATAAGAATGAAAGTACCTTTGACGAGTAGGGTATGGAAAATATGCATGGATTTTTCCAACACTCTGATCGACAAGGTGTGATAAATAGAAAATAAAGAAAGTATCGCATCAAGAGACCCAGCAGCGCATAGTGCAATGATTGTAGGCAGTTTTTGCCATCTTAGAGGCAGTGGACCGGGAAAATCAGATTTTTGATATTTCTGACCCTTTATACTTGCCGGTGTTATCTACTCGTTTCTATGTATAACTTCCCCATTCCTTGCCCACTACACCGGTATATGTCAATTTGTCATGTTTTGTGAATCTTCTTATGTCTAGTATTGTTCCAGTTTGAGCCTAATGAATTTCATAAATATGAGTGCTTCATATTCTTTCTTCTGTTTCAGAAGTGTAGTTGTCAAAACATACTTTTTGTGGAGCACTCTTTGCCAGGATGAATTGCCTGTATTTTTGCAATTACGTGCGCTGCGTCGACAACGGCCGGTCCAAGGACTTTTTGGTCTCGCCTTACGGGCTAGCCAGTGCGAGATCCCTCTGGAAATCCTCTGTAACAGGATTTCGCGCAATTTATTGTGTGCAGGGCTTCCAGTGATTTTGGGCTTTTTTGCCTCTTCTTCTTCGTCCACCGAGCGTCGTGGGCACACGCTGTGAGTCCACCAGTAATATCGGTCTGTAAAATATGTTTGACACTCATTCAGGTGTAATAAGTTCTTACCTTATTCCAATTGTGGATATTGGCCACGTGGTTCAGGCGTGAATTGAAGACATGGGTCGCATGCCTGCCATCGTGTGCCAGCGCTCCTTGTTTGATGGCGAAGTAAAGATGATTTTTTGGATTTTGTCCTCTTTGCTAGCACCTCGTATCCCTTTCGTTTTGAGACCTTGATTTCACTTTTTGCAGTTCGAACACGCCGTGGAATTTTGATTTCTTACCGCCCGAAGATGAAGGTCCACATGTCTGGCACGAGCCTCCACTCAATCTGCTTACCGAACTGCATATTGTACGAGTTGATTTCGGTCCCGTACATCGGGCTGCGGTCAGTTGCAATCGAGCGGATAAAGAGATCCCTTGATTGCACCCAGCGCGGCATCCTGTGGAAGCCCTCCTTCTCCATTCTTCCGCTTCCTGCCTGAAAGTTTTTTTGCTAGAATTTGGTGTTGCTTCATTTATGTACCTGTTTCGGAAGGTTTACGACTTCAGAATGTATGCGTTTTGTTCTCAGGTCCACAGCGAGAACTTTGCAGAGTTCTGCGCTGCGTCCCTTAGAATCGTACGCCCCGTCTACTGCCATATCCCAGCCGCATTCGCCCTCATTCTAGGATTCTGAGATATTCTAAACGTAGGTTGTCAATCGTTCACCTGGTAGGCCTCTGTAATCTCTTTTATGAAGTGACTTTGATGTTTCTCATAGACTCGCCCTATGAAGAGTCTTACTTCCTCAAAGATTCTTTTGTAGGTTGAGATGGATGGAAGCTCTAGACCCATTTCAGAAGTCCATTGTTGCAACTTATGTAACAGAGGTTTTGGATTGATCTCGAGTTGAGAATGGAAATCTTTACGTTCATGGGGACTCCAGTGGTCATAGATGCTATGCAAGCTAGTGCAACCCCATTGAAGAGTTTGTCTTTGGGACCAAATCATATCAGTTCTTGTCCCTCCCAACGCCTGATCGCTGGCGTGCTGCCTTTCGTGATGTATTGAATAATGGGAGCAGAAGCGCAGACATCTAGACGAACTCCCTTTTCTTTACTATGGCAGTCGCAACGCGTAAGGAAGAAGAGCTCAAGCAAATTTTTCCCTTGAACTACAAAAAATTTGTTCAACAGATCTGGGTCTGTCTCTTTGGGCTTGAGCTCTTCTTCACTGTCATAAGCTAGCTCATCTTTTGGGCAGAATCTAACGTCACTCTAAATTCGAAGAGCTTTTTCTAGAGATTTCTTCAGACAACTGGTGTGTTTGCATTTTTACAGTTATCTTGACAGAGGATATAGATGGTGTGCTTATGTCTGCCTTAATGGGAGACTCCGTCTCAACCGCGGCAGTCGCAGCGGTGGTTAAAGGCATAGGTTCATCAGCGTTGAATGATGTTTCCATGGGCGTCTGAACATGTGTTGATGTTTTGATGTAATTTTATGTTTTGAAAACCCCTCTGCATGTTCTTCGGCATGAGGTGCTCTATGTAGGTCCCAACCGCTCGTCCAAAGTATTTTTGCATGTACGTGTTGATGTAGCGTTGAGCATCGGATGTTGCTACACTGACATCTCCCTCTCATCTTCAGATCATTTTTTTCTTTAAAAATCCTGAAACTTGCGATTACTATGCTTTGAGTTATTCTGAGCACGTTGTGTTTTCTTCCTTCTGGAGATCTCCTCAATCGCAACAATCATTCCTTTTTATACATCATAGGGTTTCTTGTTCCCTGCATTTTTCAGGATTTTAGGAATGACCTGCGTTTCAGTGCCTAATAAACTCAATTCATTCTGTTGTTGTGGAGATCATACGAAGCCACATGAGCCAGGCCTACCTGCTAGACAAAGTAGCTCGATGACCTGTAGACTTTAGGAACTTCCCCTCAATTTGAATGAACAATGGCTTCACAACTGTCTTTGATTGTTCGCAGACCGCTTCCCTGCAGTAGATAGCAAAAACTCTAGTTGCCACAATTTATCTGTCTTCATCTATAGACAGCTGCGATCTCGTCAGTGGAACTTTGAGCAGCGAGGGTACAGGTTGTTAGTTTTATCAAAAATGAAACGAATTGTTAAGTCCTCTTCCCTCAGCAAGGGTCCGTTCCTCTTCTTCTGCATATATGTTTTGCATCGTCGTCGGTGAGATTGCATGCTTACTTGGAATGAAAACGTGATTTTAGCTGCTGCATCAGAGTTGCGCTGTACCGCACATGTGCTGAATTGCCGCTTATTTTAGCAGCTGCAGTATCGAGTTCTATATATTGGCGAGTGAGGATAGGTAGGTCAAGGAAGATTTATTAGTTTTTGCTAGTCGAGAATGCATGAACTAAGCGCTTCCATTATTTGAAGAGATTGATAGATAAATAAAATTAAACTTTGAAGTAAGACACACACCACACCACCTGATTTTTCTTTCAACATACAGCAAACCATGCCTTCGATAGTCTAGAGACAGGGCGTCAAAAGTGAAGGTTGTTTGAACATCGGACGTCATAAATAGTGAAGGTTGATCAAAGATGATCAGAGAAGAAAAAGTTACATAAAACAGATATAAAATAGCAAAAGAAATTGCTGAAAACCGGATAAAAACGCTGCAATGAGGCTTGGCGGCTTTTCAAAGTGCAAGTTTTCGCCTCAGGATCAGCAGTTCGCAACACGGGGTTTTGATTTTTGATGCGTCCTTTGAATTTTTACCCCGCATTGACGTTCCTGGGAAGTTGTCTGGATTGTTGCACTTATTGTTCTGAGCAACGATCACCCAAGATGGAAAAAAATCGATGCGAAAGCACTGAAACTGAACAAGGTAAAGAAAAACGCACTTTTTATGAATTTTCGCAAAAAATTCCACAATAATCAAAGAGATAAAGGATGGGTGGTTGTCTGCATTATGAACAGGAGCAAGATCTATAGGATGCACGAAAAAACCGCTTGAAAATAGTCAGACTAGGGGAAAAACAAGAGATTTTCAAAAATAAGGTTTTTGCCGGATTTCTCGATCAAATTAAAAATGTGGTTCTGGGACGTTGCAGTGTGAAAATAGAAGTCAAGTGCTTGAAAATGATACATAGCTTGCTAAAATTGGATTCGAAACAGCGAAGAAAAGGGTACCAGAGCCAAATGCCCCGCGCCCCGCGTTTGGGGTAGCGAGGTAGCGCGCAGCGCGCGGAGACGCAGACAAGCAGCGGAGACAGACCAGAGCCGATGGGGCATTTGGCTCTGGTCGTAGATCTCCGCGGGATCTCAATGAATCCCTGCAACATTATATAAGATTCTGATCGTCATAACACGACGAGAGAGCTGACAACGTCCCAAGCTTAGAACATCACTCATTAACGAGATAGACCAGCGTTTTCGTGCGCGACTCTCTGTGCAAGATTCAAGCGCAGTTCCTCGTTCTTGTTGGACATCAATAGCTTTCCTAAACTTTTGAAACTCGATTTTGGTCAAATGAGAGGTTAACAGAGAAATTTTGTCCTGAATTCTAGCGAAAATTCCACAGAAACCTTTTTTTAAGGCAAAAAGGCTATGAAAACGCAAATTCTCGATTTCGCTGAGATAAGTTGAAGATTATGCCCTATATTTGCTTCATCAACATTCGTTCCGATATAATCGGGATACTAGAATCCGGGACAAAGCCCCGGATGACTTCTGTTTTTTTTTCAGGTGAAGGTTGTGTCCCTTCATAGCCCTCAAAGTGAAGGTTACCAGAGTACGTGGCTCTATGTATCGAGGGTACGCAGCAAACAAAGGTACAGTGATTTCACTAAACTCGCTTTCGTTGCATAATTAACTTAAAATCACTTCCTTAACAAAGTTGACGGAAGCTGCACTTATAGTAATGCATTTGCAGCGTAAATTCTTTCAAAACTGTAATTTTCACTAGATATACAAAAACTGCAGGAAACAAAATATTTTGTTTCAAAAGTGCCCAGCCACAGAAGAAGCTTGCCTCAACTCTACCAGTGAACATAGCATGCTAGGCGCATGCTAGGTCTTCATTTCAGGCAAATCATCTTCAATTTATTTGTTTTCAAATTGAGACTTTTATCAAAAACACAGTTCAGAACAGTGAGAATAGAAAAAGATAATAAGGAAGGCGTGGAAAGAAGATGCACGAAGCGTTGATGATTTACGAAGACGATAGCAAAGGAACAACCGGAGCAACTAGGAACAACTATGATTTCAAAACACAATTCGTCATCGCATGCGGTGAAGCGATCTGCTGCTAACGATTTCGTAATCACTCTCTCGCTGCGCGCAGGTCTGCGCCAGGGCCCGGCACAGATCGTCTAGAAGCAGGCTGGACTTCGTTTTTGGAGGAAAAAGCAAAGGGGATCTCGTTTTTGACGAGTCGGAACCGAACACCAAGAATAAGCGCCGTTTAGTCGAATAGAAGCTTTTCGGACAGGTTATGACACGGTTGACATGCTCTATCGTGTTTGGCGAAAAGTGCGCGCGATTTGAAAGCAGGGCTAAAATCAACAAATTGCTTGTTTACAGCGCACACAGAATCATATGACACCAAAATTGAACTGTGTGTATAGAAAATTATTTGCGGAAGAACTATGTAAAAATATTTGAAAACTTATGTGAAGAAATACGTTTTCCAAAATTAGATCGTCTCCAGACGGCCACCAGACGATCTGAGATCGTCTGGAGCATATATTTTCGTCACTTCACATAAGTTTCGGATCTTTCCAGCATGGACGAATGCCCCGGTCAAAAATCTATCCCTGAGCAAAAAAACATTTTTATATTACCCCCTGTCCGTCCTTTTTTATCCCCTTTTTTTTGAAAAGCGCCATGTTAGTTGTCGTGCTCCACCGCCCATACCGCGTTGCGGTGAGCGAAATTTTGATCGCTTGGTCGCTTTGCTGCAAACACTGTTTCCTTCGTCTTTTCTTGTCGTTCTACTTTCGTTCGTACTCATTCTTGGTTCTTCGTTTTTATCGATGTACGATATGTTGCACTTATGCTATTTCGAACAAAACTAGGTATCGGTATCAGGCTCTAACTTCACCATGTGTCGGCTGCGAGATTATACCGATTACTATTGGGGAGTCGGTGTCAATGACTTCGATTTCTAATTCGATGCACATGAGTATCCTCATGAGAAAGAGTTTGGATATAAGGAGCTGCCTGGTTTCTTGGGAAATCCGCTTCACAAGCATCCTAAGGCTTTCCTCAACATCGATTACGACAAGACGTGAGTGGTTTTTCAGTTATTTTGTTTTTCTTCATTTTGAAGGTTCACGTTTCTTTTCTAAACTTTGACTAATTTTGGGATTCTTTAGAGTCACTGTTCGCAAATTTTCGTTGATGGTATTGTACAAACACCTCGTCGGATGATAGAATAAACTTGATGCTCAAGTGGAGAGCTATCGTTGATAGGTAAGGTCTTTTTACTTGTTCTCATCAGTTTATTAACTTCTCACATTCCATGAAACTCCGTTGCAGATGTTAAAACCTCAATCCCAGTGTCTGGAACGTCAGCGCAATGTTTGCAGATCAAATGCTCAGCTTGAAAAAGTTAAACTGGCAGGTTGGTCAACATTTTCAAGCCATAAGATTCTTTCTTCAAACTTCGCAATGATAAATTCATTAACTCACCTTATGGCGAATTCTTCTCATTGCAGACATGTATGTGGACGCTATTCTGTATGGCAATCAAAACGCATACTATGAGTGGTGATTTTACGGGTAAGAACCAGGTGAGCTTTACTCTCGGTATCCATTTGAGATAATTTTATGATTGTTTTTTTTTCAAGAAGTGTGCTAGTGGAATTTATGCCATGACTGCAGCGACGTATTCAAAATGCAACACTCACAGCAGTACAAAAAGCTGAATCTTTCTGTCAGCTGCAGCTTCTTTGAGATTTATGGCGGAAAGGTTGGTCTGCTTTTTCCAAAGACCTGAGAGCCCTGCTTTGCCTATAAGCTGCCATTGCAGGTGTTCGACCTTCTGAAGCAAAAAGCTTTATTGCGAGTTCTTGAAGATGGCAAAAAAGAAGTACAAGTTGTTGGACTGAAAGAGGCTCCTGTGAAGTGCGAAATCGATGTGAGTTCTACTTTGATTGTTTTTTTTTTTGAAAATCTTTTTTAACTCACTGAACTTGAACAGCTTCTTTATTACCACATTGTGCTTAGGTTCTTGATCTGATCCGGCAGGGCACGGATATGCGCACTGCAGGAACAACATCTGCAAATTCCAATTCGAGCAGATCCCATGCCGTCTTTCAAATAGTTTCGAGGAGGTATTGTTACGCAAATCAGCGGTAGTTACCCCTTATTTACACATTTTTAGGGGCAATAAATTATGGGGAAAGTTTTCGCTGATAGATTTAGCGGGTAACCAACGTGGTTAGGATACCGGTAATTTTGATAGACAAACCCGAATGGAAGGTGCAGAAATAAAGAAGTTGCTGCTTCCTTTGAAGGTAAAGTACCTACATCATGTTGTTGCAAAGACGTTGTGATTTGATTTTCGTACTTCTGTTTTTATTGCTATCTATTATTGTTTTAGGAATGTATTGGAGCCATGGCCAAGAATAGCCAACATGTGCCATTCCGAACCTCTAAGCTAACATTGGTGTTACGGGATTCGTTTATTGAAGAAAAAGCGCGCACTTGTATGGTAAGTGCATTCTACTTTTACTCAATTGGGAAAGTTGAGGCCATGCGAATTAATTGTTTTTTTCAAGATCGCCATGATTAGTCCGGGTATGGTATAGGATGCTGATATTTCGCTTGTTTGGGGTAGAAATGTTAGTTGTAGATTGTATATATGAACCGATAAAACATTTGACATGATGAAAATCGTATCGAGTCTCACAGCTGCTGAAGAAGAAGCCCTTTATAGCCCTTTATAGAAAGAACTGAGCAATTTGATCACTCGTTCAGGCACTGTGGATTACGGTCAGGGAAAATACGTGCGCGACGCTGTTAATTTCAGCAATAAGATGTTCGGCGGACTGTCGGTGCACGGGCAAGTATTTTTGTGGCTGGAAGCCTTTTTTTCAAGTGAGTCTATCCTATTCTGCTGGTTTTTCTGGAGAATTCTTGAGATATAATCACTACTTAGAGGTAATACTTTTGAATATCGATGATTTCTCAAAAAAATACTTAGCTGGATCTTTTCGTTTTTTTCTCCAGATCGACTAAAGAAATGGCAAGAGCTATAAGTGGCAGAAGCAGAGATCCAAAAAGCAACAAGAAATAAAAATCCCCATCGTTAGTGCTTATCAAGTCCATATCCACTCATAACTTTCGAATGTCATGTTTGTGCTCGTTTGAGATCTTCCTTATGTACACTTCATCTAGCTTATATTACGCGTTTTTCATGCTTTGTCGGGTTGATTGTGAAACTTCCGCTACTTTACATTCTGTGTTATAGTAATCCTATACTAACTGATGTGCAAAAAGATTGGTTCTAAGAAATGCTTTCCTAACGGTATTCATTGCGCATCTTCCAAACCTGAATTGGGAGCGTAACCTTCTCTATTCTAATTTTATACTAATTTCTGTCATGCATGTAGCATCAACTATCGTATGGCTTTTACAATTTGAAGTTTTCCAATAATTTATTGTAGCTTTGATTGTTGCCTCCTGTTTGGCAGATTCCTCGTGGACATGTGCCACTTATTATGCTGTTTTGAGGGAATTCTGCCAATAAAGTTGGTAGGTGCTGACTATCAATTGTTTCAAATAATGGTTTGTCGAGGAAGTCATCTTGTAGATTTTATATGGATAAATCGCACCTTATTTTCTGATTCTGCTTCGGTCTTTGAACAGTAATGCCAAAGAAGTAAACGACATAACAAACGATCTATAAATTTTTGTGCGAAGCAATTTTTTTCTTAGCAATGCATTCAACAGACATAGAGCGTTAAGTGATCTTACTGCTTGCAATGGCATTGATAAATAGGCGCTATAGGAGAAGCAAAGCCCCTCCAGGTATATACGAATGTTTCCGATTTTGAAAGTGAAGAGGTTAACTGAATTGCAAAAGACGTTAGCTTACATTTCGAACGGAACGAGGCGTGAATGGAGGAGAAAAGTGGTACAGAGATTTGATGTGGAAAATTTTGCAATACGGCACAGAGGTCGTCGAACAGAGTGTTTCGATGCGGGTAGGCTTTATGTCCCACCAGACAATAACACAATCGGAGTGGAACGTATATAATCGACGGGAGTGTCGGTAGACTGTCTCTTTTTTAGCTTTCTCAAAATTCACAGGCAAGAAAGTTCATCTAGCTGCAACATCAGCTAATTTCTGAAAGGAAGATAAAAGGTGAAAAAAGAATCGGTCTACGTCTACTGGCAAAGTCTTTTCTTTGAAACAGTTTGACAGTTAGGCAATCTTATTCATTTTTCGGAAATCTCCTGCAAGAACATGCATCTTTTCAAATAAAATACCATGTATCCCTGATAAGAGCGGTGCTTGATCGTTCCTTGAGCTTTCTGACGGTGTATAGATTGTTAAACGAAGTTGAGTGTGAGTGTAACGAAGATTGTCAAAGATTATAGATTGTCAGACGAACTTTTGTTTGCTTCTCGGTGGAAGGTTGGGGGGGGGGGGGTAGGGGCAAGGGTCAAAGGGGACTTCGTAAAGTTTTCGAAAGTCAGGGGGGACTTCGTTTTCAAAAAGCTTAGAAACGGACTCGTGCCGGGCCCTGGTCTGCGCCTCGAAATTTTATAACAATATTCTTGAATTCTCACGGTATGAACCTCTGCTCTCGCAAAGATTAATACCATGAGGCCTCCCTTTAAGGCTGCGCTCATACTGATCCCGAAGTCTGGGAACAGTTCCAGCACAGCGCTCATTTCTAGCACTGTGCCGGAACTGTTCCCGGACTTCGGGATCAGTATGAACGCAACCTAAGCAACATCCATTTTTGGATCTCCTGAACGAAATTTTTCGCATGGGCCCTGTCTCAACTTTCGACGATCTGCTGCTAACTAGTATCACGGCTGAAGGAACAGTATGGACGGTTCGGTCATTTCGAATATTTTCTTGTGGTTGCCTGTCGTTTCTTCGATCAATATCTCCTTTGATTATTGCTTCAACTTGTTCCCATCAACGATAGTCCAGATGAACTCGTGAAACAATCTTAAACCAACTTTTACTAATTCAGCATTATATCTTCTTGGTAAACGAGATCCGAAATTGTTATTTGATTGACATTCTCGATGGACCCATCAACTGCATAATCTATATATAAATTAAAATGAATCTCTGTAAATTTGTTCGTTTGTAAGTATGTGGCTTATAGACTTTGTGTATGAACCGATGGGGCTGAAATTCGTTCCCCTATAAATAAGGCACGGCGCAGAAGATAGGCTACCTCTTGCGAGTCTTTGTTAGGCCCTTCAATCGATTTATTGATTTGTTTACTTACAACGAGGGTTCACCGACCATTGTGGATCATTTCCCCACAATCATGTAAGTTGGGCGGTGAAGTTCATTTACATTTTTCGGCGAAAAGGATGTGTTTCAAGACAGCGAGGAAGACATCACATTTCGTCGCAGATATGAAGAAAGGCGGTAAGTATTAATGCGTTTGGGATCAAGTAGCGGGCGGGACCGGGGGCGCCATTAGTGTGTAATATTTACGGGTCGGGGCTTCCGGATACCCCACAATTTGTAGTGAATCTGGAAAGAATTTGGCATTGTACAACTGTCCTGCCATCTCCGCGATAGGAAAGCTCTCTGCTGCATAATTAGCTGTGGCGCTTTCAGATTACTGTGCAACCTCTGTTGAATTCTCGGCAGACGGTCAACATCGAGTTTCTAACATAAATTGAAGAAGGAGGAGGATTACCTTTAGTTTTTAGCAACAAAACTAACTTCTTTTTTTGCACGTATCAGCGATGATCAAGAACTTTGTTAGTGGCAAAATAACGCTTTCAAGAGATTAGAAATTTCGAAATTGTAGACAGTTAGAGCTTAAATGTGATGATATCGCCGCGATACCTAGATCACAAACACGTTAGCAAGGTGCCAGTGTTTCGGCATAGTGCAGTAAATTCCAGCCCGCTTGAGGCAGAAAGCGAATTGGCGGGCGCACGCCCGCCTTTTCGCAGCTACAGTACATCAAATTTTGCCAAAAACTCATGTCTGCGTCTCTTCACTCAGTCCTTGCTTGGCAAAATATCGGCGCTAAGCGCACGCAAAGCCTCCGGCGATGCTTTATGTGAAACGTCTCCCTTTAGGAGGTGAAACAGTCTGTAGGGCAGTTCGTGTTTCTGGGTTGAATCCTAAGGCTTCAACCATACTTTACTCGTGTTACGCGTGTTACCGGTGTTACTAGCGTTAATCGTGTTATACGTGTTACTCGTGCTACTCGTGTCACTCGTGTTACTAGTGCTATTATTGTTACCAGTGCGTCACCTCTGATTCGCAGAGGCTCGCATTGGCTCTACTTTTTGTATGCCTTACCTACTCATTCCGGCATAATAATGACATTGAAACTCACTGCGCTATGCAGGCTACCACGAATGATTTGTAATTACTCATTCGTAGAGGTTTTTCGTGTAAGGCCGGTAATTTCGCGTGAATAAAACTTTCTTCAGAAGAATGAATGCAAATTTGAATCGGTTTTCGGAATCTTCATGGCTTGCTAGTTGCCATAAGGACAATAATCACAGCGTGCTACATCTCTGTGCAATAAATCTTCTCAAATGATAAGGAAAAATTTTGGCAATTTGAACTTTTACGCAATCATCTTTAATTGGATTTTCTGGGCTAAAGTTTATGGCTTCCACATTAGCTTGTCAAACATATCCATGACTTCCCAAAAAGTGGTGGTACATTTCCAATTTTGCTGGTCAAAAGCCAAGAGAATCCGTTTGACGCGCATTTTTTACCATTTTAAAAACACCAGTAACACAAGTGACAGGGGTGAAAGGAGTAGCACGGCTACTAGTAACACGAGTAACATGCGTAACACTGGTAACACCGGTAACACGGGTAACACGGATAAAGTATGGCCAAAGCCCAAATTGTGATATAGTTTTCTTTGAGGCTACTATGACATCCTACTATGCCGTTTCTTGTATAAATATTTCTGGTCGCTAGTCGGTTCCGCTCCCCGCTCCAAGCCCGGGGTTAGCGATCGCCCCGTGGAAGTCAAGAGTAGCCCTAGTAAGTCTGCTTTTGTAGGGGACAAATTTTATTATTCGATAACCAAAAAAGTGAGGTATTCTGCACATAAGATCCGGCCTACGGCGCCGGGTGGTAGCAAGAACGATCTCAGGGTAGTTAGGGCGCCTTTCGGATCGGACAAAAACGACACGTTTGCCTGGACGATGCCATGGAAACTGCCTCATGCTCTGCACCTACAACGTCAGGACAGTCTCCACAAACGCCGACCTCTACGTCTTTTCGACGCTGCAGAGCACATCAAGTACCACGTCATCGCTCTGCAGGAAACGAAGTCGAGGACGAAGGACGTGCGACATAGTGAGGGAACCCTCTCATTCGCGGTGAAAAGGCTCCAACACGAAACGTTGGAGGCGTTGGCTTTGTCGTCCACCCATCTATCGTCCATTTTGTCGATTCGCATGAGATCCTGTCACCTCGACTAGCCATCCTACGACTACGCCCTCCACGTCAGAAGACCATAAGGCTATTACATTTTAAAGCTGCATATTTTATAATGTCGCAAAGCATCTTCAACTTTGAGTTTTTCGGTGAAAAGCATGTGGGGGGGGGGGGGGGGGGGTCTGATGCGAGGTCGTATCCACCAACGTCACAGCGAAGTCAGGCGGGCTGAGGGCGAGACGTGGCGAGAGGTAAAGGGAATACCCAAGCAATTTGAGACTGCAGCGTAATCTTCTTCCCATTTCACACAAGTTTTTGATACTTTTTGCATTTTTTGTGTCAAGGAACTGATACGACATACAGGAACAAAAGGATAGATCTGCAGTTGTAGATCTTATCCTTTGTGCCTTCTTTACACAGGTGGGTTTGGTGACTTGCGATTTACTGTTCCTCACAGTCTCCAATGGCCAAAAGTCAAGCAAATTGAGAACTTGTTTAGAATTCGGCGAATAGAAAATTGAGCAAAAATCGCTCTCATTTGCTCGCTCTCCTAGCGTTCCGAAAATTCGCAAATGGAGTTTCAACTGCTTGCAACGGCCTTTTATTTTCTGATACAAATTCTTTATTCGGTCATTTTCTTGTTCCTTATGATGTCATAAACTTTCTTTTGTAGTCGATTATAAGTGAAGACGTGTTCGGAACTGCCGGCTTTGAAAGCGTTCGTGAGATAGCAGAGCACGATATCGTTTTCTGGATCAAATCGCACAATTTGTCCGCCAACGCCCATATGTCCAATTTGCCAGGAACCCTAGCAAATCACAGATCTAGATTTTTGAAGTTTCTTACTAAAAGCAAAGCAACTTACTGTAGGACTTCGGGTATACATGAACCCATATCCTTTGCTAAGTATCTCTCCAATAGAGTGGTCAAATTCATTGGGAAACAGTGGCTCAGAAATTTTCTGTGAGGGGTTCGAAAATCGTACAAATAGCTAAGGATTAACTCAGGATCACCTGTATCATCTCCTTAGACAATAAAGTGCCGTCCATGGTCAACTGATGAAGCAGCGCAAGTCCCCTGGCTGAGCCAACTCCATTCACACCTGGTTGTCCCGCAATTCGTGTATCAGGATTGTTGTATAACGTGAAGTCCTTAACAGGGCCCTTAACGAGTATTCGGGCATGTACAGACCAACCTCCACCTCCCAAAACGCGACAAACCTTCCCAAAAAGTCGCATATTGTCCAAACCTTTGGCGAAGTAACCACGTGGATCCAGTACATGCCATCCTATTGTAGCAATTTTTCTATCGTACATGAACTCCCTAAAACCAAAACAAGTGATATTTGCATTTCTGTACGTATGCTACCGTAATCTCGCACAACTTTGCAGTTGCCGACGTGTAGCAATTTAGGCCGATGGACACTTTCCGGTAAGATGGCATCTTCTTGTACTCTTCTTTGAAGGCAGTGTCCAGCAAAAACTCGATTATTAAAAATTAACTTAGCGGGGGTTACCCGCAAGGCTGAATCCGAAAATCCACATTAAAAGGCGCGAAAAGGGCAAGAATATGCGTTTTCCAAAGCCTTACAATTTGGAATATGACGGTCCCCGCCAAGGCTGAGACGCACAGTCGTGCGGGACCTACGATTTTGACTGTGACGGCTGCGTATAGTAAGTTTCAACTCAGTTTGGGCTGAAATTGAACTGGCGGGAACCCGCTTCGCGACGATTCGCGCCGCTTTGCAGTCTGCATCTCTTTGTTCTAATCTATCTCGCTGAGCAGTAGCGGTGCGGACGCGCTGCCCCACTTGGAATGTTTCGCCTATTCCGGGTTGGAAAAGACTGTACTCTGTCGCATAGCAGGAATTCAAAAAACCGCGCCTTAAAGTGTAAAGGCTGCTGCATGACGAAGGCGCAGTACCTTTGGGCGCAATCGCGGCTTTATCAGCCGCACAGCGCATGAGGCGCAGGATTTACAACGGTGAGAATACGTGCGTACCGCGTTCGCGCTCGCTCGACTAATACCGCTTCTGCGCCTTCGTCATGCAGCAGCTTTTAAGTTTCCCCACTTCCCGATAGTTTTTCTTACTTTAGGTCGAACGTTATGACCTCGCACTTGCGCGATGCTGTGTCTGAGGGGGGGGGGGCACTTTCGTATGGCACTGAGATCCCAGAACCCATACCTTGTCCGGACGCTGCCTTTAATTTCAACTCTCACCTCACATGTAGCGTACGGTTACGGTAGCATATTGCTGTCACATTACTAGAACTTGAAAGACCTGTGTGAAAACTGTGATTTCGTGAACTGACCTAACGGCCAAGAGAGCAGTTATTCCAGTTAATCGAGCAATCCTAACTTCTTCAGCGGAGCAGTCGCCGATATGCACGTCAACATCTGAAAGTGATTAGTAAAACAGACCAGCTAGAGAGAAAAAATATATAAAGATGGATGAAACCTACGGTGCTTGGCCTCAATTTCTTCTTTGAGAAATTGCCCAACTGTACGATGTTTGGGATCGATACGGCAGAATATCTACAAACTAGAAGTTAAGAGCGGATAAGGTTGAAGATTCTCAATAGAGTTGAGATTCAATAATTCGAAGTATTTCTTGTTCCATAACGAAACATAATTACGTCGGAAGAAGCTTATGGCTATGGTTTACGACTACGTTTTCCGCTTAAAAATAAGATGCGACTTGGTTGACAGAAATGCCCAAGAATACGGTACAGTACTTCTTCAAAAAACATTCTCTTATTTCCGCCTAGAAGTTTCGAAATTTAAAGATGTGCCTACCGTTTGATTGTTAGCAACCCGCATGTAATGAAATCTTTTGAGGAGCTTTAGGTACCGTTTTGTAGAGCCGGCTCCAACTTAGATTTACAGTATGGAGTACGAATCAACATTCTATCTTTATTATTGTAGGAGCATGGCAGGAATTTGCAGCATTTGGTGCCACTGTGAAAAAGAACAACTGGAAAAAAGATTCCAAGAAAATCTGAAAAATTATGTAACAAGGTTATCATGCATGCTGATTTCTACACTTTTTTTCGCTTTCGTAGAGCCTTTAAAATGAGCTAATAAGATTTTTGACGAATAGCAGAAATTGGTTGTCCCGACATATCCGGCACAACTTATGGAAAATGCGCTACCATGAAGTGCTAGTTCCATGTTTGGAATCAGCACTCTGATTAACCATCTTTAGTTCTATTTTGGGGGTGAAATATGATCCTTGTTCACTCAAAACCCTCCTCAAAGTTCCAACCATATCCCTACAGTAATGAAGAGGGATTTTTTATTCGCGCCATACTGTAAATCCAAATGTTAGTTAAAGCCAGCTTTACAAAGAGTACCTAAAGCCTCTCGGAAGACTTCATTACAAGGGAGTTATTGAAGTAAGCACATCTTTTGGGACACCTTGTAATCTATAATAAGGTATAATCTGCAAAAAAAACACTGATAATGGTAAAAAACTGCAAACATAACACAATATTGGATCTTTAGTGAATCATAATTCTAAACGGTCTGAGTTGAAAACTGGAAATAGTAGAAAAATTTCAGAGCTCTCATCAGTTGAACTCTCACCTGATCTACTAGCCAACCATAGGTCAATGCCTGATAAGCCGTTTTTGATCCTGGTGGAAACTTCGGCGCTTCCTGTTCGATGATTGTAGCCATACGTAGACCATCGGTAAGATCAGCAAGGGTGAGAACTCGATCGAAGTGGGGGAGGCCTGCCTAAGAGTAACTAATCAGACGAATTTACATCTTATTGTTAGTAACAGAATTTTATGGACTTTGCAGAAATAAGCTCTGATCTACAACACCGCTCAGAATGTGCAAAATTCCAGTTATCGCGGAGTTCCGGGAATTCCGCGGACTTCCGGGAATTCCGCGGAAGTACGCGACATTCCCGGAATTTACTGAAAAAATTTTGCACATTTTGTGAGAGGTGTTGTATATATAACTCTAAAAATAATCTGCCTTAAAGTCTAAAAAACCATAGAGTCCAGTTGATTCATTATTCTCTCTGTAGTATATACCAAAAAATCTCTACTTAATCTATTAAGGCGTACCTTATGTGAAAGGACCATCTGTATTGTGATTTCATCTTTACCATTTTGCCCAAATTCCGGCCAGTGCTTTGTAACTTTATCTGAGTAGTTACACAAGCCACGATCAACGAGTATTGCCATGCATATTGCTGCCACACTCTAAAATTGTCGTGTTAGACTGCACTCTCCAATCTAAATTCCTTCTCCAAAAATGAAGATTGATTCTAGAATGCTGATTTTACACAAGCACAAAATTCGAAATGCCTTCGTAAACGTATTCATCGCATTCTTTGAAACCACAATGAGCTCGTCAACTGACTTCCGAGATTCTACTTTCGCGAAAATGATCAGTTTCACTTTCACTATTTCCCGATTTTGAGCGGCCCAGAGATTAAGGATTTACAATAAAGTGAAAGTAGATGAAGTGTGCGTTTATTTGGAGTGAAGGGAAAAAAGAATATCAAAGTTTCTGTGTTCAGAAATTGTTGCCTAGGAACGACAAATTTTGCTACGGTGATGGAATTCGAAGAATGGATTCAACATCAAGAGTTATTTCTACAAACACCAATGCTCCTAATAGTTTTTGTTTTCAGGGTTTAACTTTAAGATCCACTTTGTATGGCACTGAATCCTGCTAGCTCAATGAATTCTTGCTCAAAATCTTCGAAATCAATAGCATAGCACTGTTCCTTACGGGTTAGTACTTAACAAAAAAGAAATCATTATGTTGCTAACAACAAAAGAGTTGATGGGGGTCTACTGAAATGTCTACATGTTGGTACACAAATGAAAAAAATTAGTCCGCAAAGGACAAAAGTGTGCCTAATTGGTTGATACCCATTATGAGAAAATTTTTACATGTAGAGCTCGTGGAATCATGTCACGCTGTCTCCTCATCTCACGAAACTAACAAAAGTGCAGCTGATACCTAGACCATGACTCATTAAAGGCAGCGTCCACCCAAAATTTACTCATCCCAGACTACCACTTGTCTTATGCAGGCCCTAAAAGTGACCAACCGCGTTGGTCCAGTCCCCTAATGTTGCCTACAAAAGCAGATAACGGCCCTGGATCTCTCTGCGCCCAGCCTCCTTTTTTGCGCTCCGCCCATCCACGGATTGCCCCGTGACGTGCTCGGACATGACAGGCAAGGTCGAGACGCATAGTTTGTGATGCGGCGTAGTTGCATACGACGAGGTTTTCTGTTGCATACGACGTGACTAGCCCCGGGGACCTCGTCCACGTCTGCTAAATTAAAGATGCAGAAAAGGGTAATTTGGAGCTCTGGTATCCGAAAGCGCCATGAAAAGACGCGATGACAATTAAAACATGAAAGACGAATTTTGAATGAACGCTGCCTTCAAGGAAACATTAGAGAAGCAGAGAATGAAATTTTCTCTTCAGCATCCAATGAGCGCAACTTTTTATTCAATGGCCAGTCTGTATCAGTACGACAGTGCTCATTTTCTCCTGTTGACTGTGAATGGAAAAAGATTTTTTCCAACTCTCCTTATTTTTGGACGTTGATGATAGTCACCATACATTCAAGCTCGACAAAAATGGAAAAATTTGGTAGTCTTCCTTTGAGATTTGTAACCAACCTTGGAACAACTGAATATGGTCGTGATCGTGTCTTCATTCCATCGTCTGTTACAAGATTTGTCTGCAAATCCGCCCCATAGGTCGACCACTAATTTGCCGCGATGATAAACAGCGAAAGCTGCACCACCGCGTTCCCATCCTTCTGTGAAATTGCGTCTAAACAAATTCGATTAGATTCCGGTTGAAAAGAAAACTCTTGGTAGTTCTTGAACCGTTTACTTTTTGTATGCATCAAAAAACAATGATAGCTGTAGGCCAATGGATTTCCGGAAAATTTTTCCGGGTAGAAAGAGGTGAAAGACTTTCTTTCAGACCATTGCGGTACAGCAGTTACTGTTGCCGTGCCAAAATTCCCCGTACTCATATAAAGAAAAGGACATCTTTGTTCTCCGTAACATTCCACGTCTTACACAGTACAGTGGATATGTATGCATCGAAGATAGGTATGAACTGATAAATTTGTATCATGCTTGAAGCAGCAAGTTCTTTCACAAATCATTCTAATCCCCTCTTTGAATCATAATCTCTATTGCTTTAGAACAAATCGCATTCGATTATTGTTGGCCCTTGGCACACGGTAATATGAAATTTACGTAGAGATACATAAAAACTAAACGGCAAAATATTTTCCCTCAAATTCCCATGCAAAAGAAAGTGATTTGAGTTTTCCAGAGAATATTCTTCTTTTTTTATATAATAAATAGTTTTGATTAGCGTTGTAGTAAACCAAAGCTTGCTCACCTAAATGAATCTCGTATTGCTTCATAACTGCTGTCCACATTGCCCCCGATGAGTTCTTCCTTTTTCATCTGAAAGAAAAAGTAGCCATTCAATCTTAACAAATTAATTACGGAAAGCGAATAAGTAAATCATTGGGCGGAGGGAGATTCTGTAGTGAAACTATCCTTTCTGTCATTGCAAGTGATGCACTAAAATGCATAATATCGAAGAAATAACAGATTTTATGCACAGCTCAAATTTGTATATTTTTTGTTTCTTATAACTTAAGAACAAATGTACATTATGAGGTAGATCGACAGTGATCGACAGTGCTGGAGTGATCGACATAAAAGTACAGATTATGAATTTTTCCACCGTGGCCTATTTAGGGAGGGGGCGACAAAAAATTTTCTGATGAATGTGCGCACACCCCACGCTTCACTCTGGGCATTTACATCAGTTATAAAAATGTGCAAGTAACTTGTTTATACTTGTTAACGAGTCAATTTAGTCTTATAAAAATTTTCTTTGGGTTTTCTGAAATCTCGGGGTTAGGGGCCCGCAAAATTTGGAAGCATGAGCGCCTCCCACCTCTGTACGCTACTGGTTTTCCGCTCTTCTTACACTTGCACTTTTCTCAGAGAAAACATTCTATTCCCAAAACGTTGAAATCTAATGAAGCAATGTGATTGTGATGAAGTTCTCTGAATCATCAAATCAATCTGTTTTCCTTCCCACAGTAAAAAAAAGCGTTGCTCCGCTTTTATACTTCAAAATATAATAAAAGAATCGTAAGGTGCATTCAAAAATCATCAGATAGCGGGAAACCGAGCGGGTCCCGAAGCGAGTGCGCCTCCAATCAGCACTTTTGAGATTTGGTTTGCTAGTCATAGTTAAATAGAATGCAACTCGCACTTTAGCTCAGTTCCTAACGTTTGTTTTGTGCTTTACACTGATATAAACAACAGAATGGTAAGTTGAGAGAGTCATGCACATTAAATTTCATGGTTGTTGCAGTTTGCAGCGAAATACTATAGTCAAGGAAAGAGCAACAGTACTAATGAACTGCCAATGTTCGGTTTGAAAGGTTTTTTATTGCAGAAAATCAATGAATAGAATAGTCTTTGAAGGTCAAAGACACAGATGTTAGTTGGGTGAATCGCGTTACTTGCAAGAAGACAAGACTAGTAAAGGATTCTGACGTAGAGAGCAGTTCTAAAATTGCTCAACCACCCATGACGAGACTGGTTTGATTTATAATTCTCAATATTAAGGTGCTAGAACACATTGCATTTTTATGTAATTGCACGAAGCAGGAAAAGCGAGCTAGTGCTGAGGATTAATGTTGTTTATAATTTGCTAGAAAATGTTAGAAAAAAGCCATCTCCATTGCAAATGCAGCAAAGCTTTGGCAGAAGTTTCGCTTTTTTCAGACAAAATTTGGTTTCCGCAAAATCATTGTAGGAAGATTTTAAGAGCATTCAATGCACTCTACTTCTTCCTCCAAACAGCTGATTGTAAATTTGAAACCATCCATTTTCATCAGTATCCAAGCATTGCAGAAACTTGTGGTTTCTACGCAGAAACTTGTGGTTTTTACTTTTTCAGACGTCCTCTAACTATTTCATTTTGATTCAAGAAAAAATTCGGGAGGAACACGGCGATGGACTGCGATCAATCGCTGTTTACAGCTTTCTTATGGCATTATGTCACAGTTACATTATATCATCATAAATGTGATTAACTATGCGAGACTTTTTTCTCATAAATGATTCCAAGAACTATTGGGGCATATTTTGATTTTTGTTCTTTGGCTGTGATGAAAGATGTGAGATTGCTCCTGAAAAATGATTCTTCATTGACCTAGAATAGAAATATATTTTTCAGGAGCAATCAAGACGTCTTTTCTCCGACATTTTACCACTTATACTTAAGAAAACTGATTGGATTGCGCTCTATTTTGGTATATGAACATTTTAAATCGTAGAAACTCTGCGCTCTGTAAGCTTAAATCTCATCGGATGTACTTAGTGAGGTTTAGTAAACTAACAATAGAGTATTGCCAAAAGGCTCTAGACACAGTGTTTTAAAAGCAGAAATATATTAGGTTGAACCGAAAGTTCTGTCGCAACATTTTCAAAAAATCATAACTTCTTTCGGTCACGACGATTTTGCGCAATTCAAATTTTTTCTGAAAGCGTAAGGCATGTAGTTTCCGAAAGCTACCTGGGGAGTTTCCGACATGCTCAGATGGCAGAGATAAAAATGAAAGAACGAGATCATCCGAAATTCGGAATTTTTAAGCAAGAATTCTAGAAATTCAGAAACAGTGCGATAAAATCCAGAAAAGCCATTATCCTAATTTTTCTTACATTTGATTACTATCTGAGTCAAGTTTGTGCTGATTGAGCCCTTTTTTAGAAAGTTATGATTTTTTGAAAAATAATGCTGAAAAATCAATTTTCTAAGAATTCTTAAGAAATGGATTTTTCGGCATTATTTTTCAAAAAATCATAACTTTTTAAAAAAGGGCTCGATCAGCACAAACTTGACTCAGATAGTAATCAAATGTAAGAAAAATTAGGATAATGGCTTTTCTGGATTTTATCGCACTGTTTCTGAATTTCTAGAATTCTTGCTTAAAAATTCCGAATTTCGGATAATCTCGTTCTTTCATTTTTATCTCTGCAACCTGAGCACCTTGGAAAGTACTCAGGAAACTCTTGGAAGCTACTTGCTTTACGCTTTCAGACAAAATTTGAATTGCGCAAAATCGCCGTGACCGAAAGAAGTTATGATTTTTTGAAAATGGTGCGACAGAACTTTCGGTTCAACCTAATAATTAACAAAGTAGCATTTGCACGATTAGCAATGCTTCACTGTAGCAGATGTCTTTTGAAAAGAAAAGCTCTTGATATAGGGGAACGTAACGAGAAGCATGACCCAAAGTTGTTCCAAGTGAAGAAGTGTGATTGGTTGTAAACTTCAGAAGCGAAAAAAACTTTACGTAATGACGTACCCAAGCTAAGTTCATGATAAGGCGAAAAGTAAATTTGATGGAAAGGGTCTTATGGTTAGTTCCGAAAAATGATTCCTATGCCAGTATGCAATATTTCACATCAATTTTATCACAATTAAATTTTCACAAGGTGACCAAAGGCAAACAAACGTAGCGTGAGGCTTCCCAACTTTCTAAGTTCTGGAAAGTACGTAAAGAATAATATCTGTAATAACATCCTACTAGTATGAGAGAGAAGTCAAAGTACGACTCAGGATGACCTTGTCGGCGTCGTCGAGGTCAGTGTTAGGTATGGTGCACTACAAATTAGGACTAACGTCTCAGTCTGTAAGAATTCTATTGCGAGGTGACATTTTTTGCCTATGAGGCCAAAGGCACATAAAACACTACAATATTGGAGGAACTCTGTACATAAAGACATGAACAAGTGATAGGAAGAGACTCAACCACATTCGTTTGATAACAATCACAAGTGGAACTGCAGCAGTAAAGGACGAATGGACGACTGCACATGTGACAGTACAAAGATATATCCGGAACCAGTTAGAAGAATGAACTAATCTTCGAAAAACAATAGGCAGTTCGAGAAGAGAATCGTAAACTGTGCCAGATGTCATTAACATTAAAATGATAATTATTCAAATTTCACGAAAGTTGCAGATTTCTACATCACAGCGAATCGAGTAAGATTTGTATATTAAGATTTATTGCACTATGGTAATATGTCTTGAGGATCTAGGCAACAGCGCCAAGTCAAGAAAGTTTATTCGAGAAGGAGACGACTTGGTGTTAATGATGTTTCAAAAGAAAATTTTTGGGGTGTTTCTCAGCAAGTTTATAGTGAAAAAATTTTTGGAAAAAAAAGACCTTGAGAAACAGCTACGCATTGAACACTCCTTGCAAACTGATTTCAGTTCTTAGGAACTTTGCCTTTTAGACCCCTTCCCCCGTGGCTTGCCTCCATAAGTATATTCGGTTATCACTCTTACGATGTTTAATGATTGTCTAGTTTGGCAAGGATCAAAAACGATTTGCCCAGCAGAGTTTATTTACGCGTTTGCGATTTTTTTCCCATTGCTGAATGTCCTTCATAGCTCAGGCAGGTATCCCCGTAAGGTTGAAATAAACACTGGATAACTGAATCTAATCAGCCAAGGAATCCAAGACATTTGAACTAGCTCCAAGGATCAAATTTCTATAGAAGTTGCCAGATCTCGTAAATGAGTTCCCACATCCTTCCCCTATTTTAGCGCATTCATTTTAACACTCATCTTTACCTCCAGAGACATTGGGTTTTGGGTCAACAAATGCTGCAGACAGGTTTTATGTCCAGTTGTATCTCTAGACGTAGTACATTCATGGGATCAAAAAAAAATACTGTTCAAGAATTTATTTTGGAATGTAGGAAAGTCGCAAAAGTGAGATACCGAATTTTCTCATTGTGAGCGAATGTGAGAAAGTTTAAAATCAAAAATATTTGATATGGCATTACCATAATCAATTGATTGCTAAAAACGAAAACTTATTTGCATTCATATACCAAATTACTTAACTCATCATCTGTAACAGCATGAAAGCGGAGCTTCGAAAAGGTCTAAGCTTTTAGTAATTCAGCTGAGTTGCGGTATAACTGATTATTGTGTGTGGTTCAGAGTCATTATAATAAATTCCTAGGTGTATTTTATACTGCTTTACTGCTGGGCACATGCCAAGAGCCTACCCCTTGAATCTCTCAATGTCATCTTTTTAGCATTTTCTGGGAACTCCCAAAATTTTGTTCAATTAAAATAGATGGGCAATTGCGTTATCAAAATTTACACTTTGATAAACTTGGAGGAAAATTGTCATTCATGATCACTATCAAAACGAACTCTCCGACGAAATACAAGATGCACAAGCTTAAGAAATACGGAACTAATTTGAGTAATCTGTCATGCGATTGAAAAACTGAAATTAAGCTATAGTAACTCTTTCAAAGATTATGTCAAGTTGGTCCTCCTATCATACATCAAAAATTTCAGAAGTCGTAAGTAATTGTGCTTCCAACGAATTTGCTTAATTTAATGTAATTTAGAAAGAAAAATCACACGCTTTTATCAGTGTTCAAAACAAAAACCATGACAGTATATCGCAGTAAAACAAGCTAATTAAGAGAAAAGTACGTACAATAATATTCGAATTTTGGTCTCTAAAAATGCCTTAATGTTCGAACCTAACTTTTTTTTTATTATGATTTCATGTGTTATTCTTTCGGAGCAGAAAGAGATTTGTGTTGATAGGATGTTGTTCTAACCAACAATTATGATCAGCGACTTCTTATTCCAAACAAAACCCCTAGCAATATAAAATAGCAATGTGTAGGTTGAAAAATAAACTTAAATCGAAACGTTCTTTCAAATTTTTAAGTGAATTTTCAGCATTTTTGGTGTAAGACTAGGGACCAACTTAATATGAACTATATCTACCACGTATCAGATACAGACCGGTTTTACAGGAAGATTGTTTTCTTTCAACAACAGAAAATTTTGTTCTTATGCGGCATCAGTGTAAATTGGGCAAATTTTATTCAAGTGGCTCAGAAGTACTTCATGTAGCGTGGCAAATACTTATTTTATTTTATTCTAAATACTAATTCTTTACTTCCTCTTTGACCCGAGGATAGATGGTAAATTTGATCCAAGTTTTTCCAGCCGGATTCTAAGTGGCACTTCTAACATTTCTACTATATAAATGCTTGTCATCAATCTGGGTTTGAGGGCGAATAGCTCCACTGTTTGCTTTCTATCAAGTTATCCTTGAGATAAGATAACGCAATTTTTCCTTACTATGGAATAGTGAGAAACCGGAAACGATCGAATATAATGCAGGTTAAGGTCAAGATGGCGCGAGAAAGTGCGGTGGTAATTTTGCACCAAAACAATCGTTTACTTCATAGGGGAAGACAAGACTATGCTTTTAGTCACGGATAGCAAAAAAAATTTTCTCTCGTACTATGTCAACAGCAAGAGTGCAGTAGACTGCAAAAGTACTATTGATTAGTATTCTTGGGTCTCCGACAGTGCCATACAATTAAGCGAAATAAGAGATATCAATAAAGTTGTAAGAAAAAAGCTTACCAATAACTTCCTGAGAAATGTGAATGGACAGAGTTGTAGAATGTCATGTATCAAATCCATATCGATGGCTGCACCGCATCAGCAAGAATCGCGAATATCCTTCCGCATCGTATGTTCACCTTGAGTTCCAAACAGGTTTTGCGCCAATGACTTTCGAGCTAGGGGTTTCAAAACGAGTTAAACTCTCATTTCCTAAAACGTTCATAATGTTTCAGTGCCTTTTTTACAAGAAAGATCTATAACAGATTATCTAGGTTGTGTTCACTTAATGTCGGTTCCCAATCCTGCCGCGAAGAAGAAGCCAGAGAAAAAAGTAATAGGCTCGCCGGAAAATTCGTTCGCACCGTTTTCGATCATAATTTTTTACTTTCTCAGAATATTTGCACAACTTCAATTTTATCTCAAAAATTGAGAAAATTGTGCGCTTTAGATTCAGACATTGCAGATGTGGAAGTCCTAAAAAGAATCTCGAATTCTAATTGTTCTGTGTGGGGTTGCCAAAAATCTAAGACTTGCACTAGAAATCGGAACAATTACTATTATAGGTCTTATTTCCGCTCTTCCGCAAAATTTGCGTTGATTGAGATTCTCTATGAAAAGTTAAGAATTTCGAGGAAGCAGTTCTGGCTTTTTTCGAAATATGCAACTTTGCACAGAAAAACTTCACAAACACAGTTTTTGCTAAGGTGGAAAGAGTGAGCCATGAAACTTGTAGTACTGACTGCTCCAATTTTTAGTCATTCGGCAGCCCTACACAGAAAAATCAGAATTTGAGTAATTCTCTTGTGCAGCCTCTATCTCTGCAAAACTTGAGTTGTAGAAAGTTTACTAAGCGCCGTTCGAAAGGTATTTCCCCTTTCAGACAAAATAAAATTTGCGCAAATCCTCTGAGTGAGTAAAAAGTTAAGAATTTCCGAATTGCAAACGAACTTTTGGACTAACCAATGAAAAATGTAGCATCATGCGGCAGTGCATACAAGGACGGATTTGCATGATCGCAAAAAGTTTGACCTACTGGAATTTGGAAAAGAATTCTGTACACATCAGACATCCACATGCATTTTCATGGCCATATCTGTCTTTTTGTATCGCAAAGAAAAAAAATCGTCCTAACTGTAAGAAAAATTTTGCAGCTGTGCCTGGCGGCGAGGAAAACCGCAACGCTCAGAAAACAGCGAATTTTGTAAGTGTGCCTCAGTGTTCGAACTTCATTTGAAAACTATCGGGATAAAGAGTTTTGCTCTTGGACCACGGAAATTTGTTCTTATACAAATTCAGAAACATTATCAAAGCCGTCTGTGTCCATCTCTACCACGCTCCAGCGCTGATTTTGCGCTCGACGGCAACTTCGTTTTCAAATTTGCGAAATGATTTGCTAAGTTGCGGTACTTAAAAGAGTTCAATGGCATTTTTTACACATCTCTACTAATTTTCTTGTTGAATAACTCGTAGCTTTCAGTCTTCGCTTATAGATAACATGTGGATCGAAGTTCGGCGAGCTTGTGAAACAGTGCAAAACTTTACTGATATTGAAGATGCAAATGCCTGTGCAGAGTTGATCAAAGAAGTTGAGAAGTTCAAATGGCGTATTCAGAATATCCTGAAAAATCCGGTAAGTGTCACAAATTGTGCAGTAGAGAGTAAAGTTTTTGTTGGCCATAAGTCTTATCTTTTTCCTGTTTAGCTACCTTGTTCACCCTCAACTTTTAGCCCAACCTTTAGTTCTTCTAACGCTATCATACGTTCAGATCTCAATTACTCCGTTCTTCTACTTGTTACTTAATTCTGTAGTCGCATATGTGTGTTTGCGGAACACACTTTTCCCTCAGATCTTCAGTGTTGTTTGTTTAACCGCTCTGAGTGGCCTTCGAAAGTACTGGGAAAGACTCCTGGAGTGCGATCTATGCTCATCCGCGTAATCTGTATCGTTATTCGCCGAGACTTGTCCACTATAATCTATTTTTTTAATATGGTGGTGGAGCACTAGATAAGCACTCTTGTCACAAAGGAATGAGAGAATGAGATTGAATGAGATTTTTGAATGAATTTTGAATGAGATTCATACTCAGCGCCAAAGTTCACTTCTCTGGTGCAGTTGCACCATGCAACGCACGAGATGTTTGCGCGAAAAGCTGCTAAGATTCTATGCCTTTTGTGACTTTTAAAGCACTCCCATTGCTTTATTTCACAGTCCTCGTTTGAGGCCCCGGCCAGACTTCGCTCAAAAGCGCCCAGACTTCTCACTTCTCCTCACTCTCATCTCTCCTCAAACGAGAAAGTGAAGAGACAGGGAAATTTGGACGCTTTTGAGCTTTTTGAGCGAAGTATGGTCAGGGCTTGAGGCAAACACCGAAAAATAGTTTCGAATCAGTTGCAAAGCCAAAATCGAATTTCGGGGTTTTACGACAATGTAGAAACTGAATCCACTGGCTTCTAAGCTGCTACTTCTAGAAATCAGGGAACAGTTAGGCGATGGCTCGAAGGCACGGCGATATAAGTCACCGCTACACAGCATTCTCAGCTTTTCTTCAAGACCATGTTCTGATCTGGAATAGACTAATGCCAGATTCCAGGGTAAATCCCCAACGGATCGAGTCAAACTCAAAGCGAACGCAGAAATTGCCATTGATGGTGTCAAGGTGACCCTTGATCAGTCAGTTTGCGATGAGACAACCATCATCAGCGATATATTCAATCTCAATGAGATGGATGCACTTCAGCTCGTTCTTTCCGGTACGCTTCTCGTTTTCTTTATTTACTAGTAAGTCAACGTAATTTTTGTTTTCTAGGAGAAAGCCAAAGAATCCATTTTGATTGCTTGAATCGTGGACTTATCGCAGTAGTATGTTACTATGATGTACATAGACTTCTCGCAGTTCTTTTGAGAACAATGCTTGAATGGGACAAAGAGTCAGCACATGAGACTCTACGGGCCTTCATTGAACAGAATTTTGTACACCGCACACTCTTCCAGCACTTACTTCGTAGGTTTTGTCTTTTTTGTACCTGAGATACGGAAAAACTGTGCCCACTATCTGATCTTCAGTAACTCTCTGGTTCCAATGTCTTTTGCCAAACTTTAGGGTCTGTAGGCTTGCTTCAGCTTAGGTTTATAGTTTGGAGCGATCTACAGATCGCTCTTTTACTGTATTGCGGAAAAACTTTCAATACAGCGCCATTGTGAAAGGCCGTGATAAAAAGTTTTTGAAAAATTGGATTGTGTAGCAGCTCACTGGTGCTAAGTTCAAACAGCTATTTGTAAGTTTTCTGGGCTTCCTTAGTAGCATCGCATTTTTGAAAAGCATGAAAAGCAGTAGTTACGATTACTTGTAAAAAGGAAGAAGCGTGTCTATAATCTACAACATTACATTTGAAATAAGTGATTTCTACAATCTAGTGAAAGAATTTCTAACTTGTGTGGTTTCCTTTCTGAGGCAAAATACGACTCTTGATGGCTTAGAACCCTCCTCATCGCTACCGTATGTTACAGTAACAGGTTCGGCGCTCGACGCTTCAATAAGTTGAACTCACAAGGGAGGTCGAATCAGTCGAAGTGGCCTTTCCAAATGGGTCATATACCATTTTGAAGAGCGATGAACGCTGATTCCGAATCTGCCTTCATTATCTGCCGAGCGCTTCTGGACGTCGAGTTATAAAATTTTTTTGGAGCGAAAAATGAACTCAGAATTCAAGTAAAATTAACTATTACGGACTTTTCAGCGCCTAAATAGAGCAACATGTAGTATGAGTGTTTTGGACAGAAGGTATCCTTTGTAATGGAGTGCTCTGATAACCAACTTCGGACCATTTGAGCAATTCTGACGAATTTTGCTCTAATTACGCATTAAATTTTTCAACCAAAGGAACGCTCATAACTCGGCGTCCAGAGGCGCTCGGCAGATAACGAAGACAGATTCGGAATCAGCGTTGCATGCTCTATAAAATAGTATGCATTTCATATGGAAACGCCACTTCGACCAAGTATCCTTCCCTTGTCAGCTCTACAGAACGGTATCTAAAGATTGGCAAAAGACCGTGAATCAAGGGGGTTACTAACTATCAAAGCTGGGTACTTGTCTGGGACACCATGTATCCTATTCTTCTGAGTTTCTTTCTGAATTCAGTAGCATACTGATAGAGAATCTTGGGAGCTTTATTGTGGTTGTTGTAGAGCTACAAGCGACTTTTACTGTCACGAGCGAGTTTCACATGCTTTCCTTACCACATGTGAATGGCCTAGGTGGTCCTCGACATCAAAATCTAGTGAGTTTTCCGTATTATAACTCACAACCATCTACATCATGATTTTACAGCTACGCGGTGTAATCGAAGAAATTCGTGAAAATACTGCAGAGGCCTTGTATTCACTCTGTGAATGGGGAGCTGAACATGCGAACGAATTCTTGTCTGACATTTATCCCATACTCAAGGTACCTTGTGGACTATTATCCCTTACCTTTTTACTCACTAGCGATAGTTTTGTCTTGGATTTTCTTTTTTAGGGAGTCCCTTTGGCGGAGAAGTTTGCTCCACATCACCTTTCTGCTTGGACATGTTTAGTGAAGCTTACGTCCAGCCATGTACTTTCACAGAGTACGTGACTTTGTCTTTGTTTTTTTCTCTAGGACCAGTCATGGCGTAGGAGCTGCAACAAATTTTGACAACTTTTCTATGAACATCCCATTTTTTCTTCTCTGCAACAGAATGAATGTTTTCAGCTCCATCTGCAGCAACCGTTCTCTCGAATCTCGTCAAAGAGATCAGGAACGAGACCGTGTGGAGCGATCAGTCCGTATGCGGCACAGTACAACTCGCTTGCGCTATAGCCCTCCGAGCCCTTGCTGTTAGCCCCGCCGATCACTTGAGTGAGTTTCTGATTTGAATTGCATGTTTGTGATAGATCATCGCACTATCTGATGTCTGAAAAGTGACATGCCGGCGATTGCTCAAAAGAGACTGTTGCAGATATAACGAATGTGGAAGTAGACGTTGATAAGGTTGTAGACAGATCAATCAAGAATTTGGCCCTGGTTTTTATTCGTCATGGAATCATCGGGTATGTTTATGTCATAATTTCTGATCTTGATCAAATTTTACGTTAAAAGTCTCATTACCACGTGCTATGGTTTATGAATAAGCTTCTTATGTTGTGACGTAGTGCACATTTTAGATCTGATTCATTCAAATTATGTAGTACGCACGTGCGAGTGGTGGATACGCTGCTTAAGCAATTGATTGCTTTGTTTCCTGCTAAGGTAAATGCTAGAATGCTTTAAGAGCACTTTTTTATCAGCTTTATTGTCCTTCTATATTTCGTCTGGAAGGGCTAGGGGTGGTTCCAAAACATTATGATTTGAATCTTTCAGCTTATGGAGATTGAAAGAAACTCCGAGGACGAGCTTACTTGGGTGGATGAGGTAGCTGAAAGTGGGCAGCAGGCAAGTTGCAGTCTTCTGCCTTTTCCATATTTACTGTCGCTCAACTTCAATTCCATCGTTTTAGGTGACACCTGCATTACACTACGAGAACTTTCTAAGATGCATTGCTGACCTGTACCAGCTAGCCAATGATCCAAAAGCCAGTGAGACACTGAAGACATGCATCACGGAACTGAGCTTGGCCTACAGCAGTGCAGGATCGGTGAGCTATCGCGTTATCTGTTTTACTAATTTCACTCGATTATACATTCTAGATGGAGTTATGCCGTTTTATGGAGCGAGCTCGAGTCTCACATCATGTTGTGCACGCAGTAGCTTATTTGGATGTCCTATGCGCAGTATGTCGAACTCAGCAGACAGCATCATTTATCTTTGATATCTTCGCACGAGTGCCACCTGGAGATGGTAGGAAGTTTTCTTCGTTTTTTAGCAAACACGATGGTGGAGATTGCAGATGTTTATGTTGGATGGGATCATGTTATGTCTGCGCTGCGATCCTATGAAAGGCTTTTTCGAGAAAGGACCGGCGCCACTTCTATGTTTGGGTGCGTTAGATTTCTGCAATTACTTCTGAGCTACTGCTTAAAACTATGCTGATTAAGTTTAGACATGCAATTTCTCAACCAATCAAACCTATCATTCCTCCACGAGAGCTGATTGGCCTGATTACTTGGGTCAATCTTGCCCGTACCGTAGTCGATCTGGTCGGTAACACTTTTCGAAACCATTACAAAATCTCCTATCTCAAATTTAGGACAATGATGCAGCTGAAATATTTTTGGAGGAACGTCAGTGGGCTGTCTTGGATGCAGCTTTGGGCGTTGTTTCAGCGCCAGTACCTTTGGCGTTGAAAGGAGCTTTGCTACGGCTGGTCGCGGCTTTGGCGAAAAGGGAAGCATCCGTGCTTAGGTAATTTTCACATCTTTGAAAGTACTGGCTCAATCAAGTTCCTATCTCCAGAATATGGAATGCACTGAATGCGCATGGTTTATGTACCTTTGCTGAGAATGGAGCTTTGATGGGTTTGCAGGTGGGATAAGTTGTTAATTTGTTCTTCTCTCATTGTGAAAGTCCACCAGATTAGTTTTCTTCTCATCGACGTTTCAATTCATTCTATGTGGATTGCGTTGTTCTTTTTTGCACAAAGTTGTAATTCCACGTTGTTTTTTTTATTTTTTTTTCTGAAAAAAAATGTATCAATCAAGCTTTGAGGTCATCTTAGGGTCTGATTTTGTCATTCTTCACTTCTACTTCCAGAAAGAGCTTGATGAACGAGAGTGTGCTGAAGAGACGTTTGACACTTCGCTTGGATTCGTCCATCTTCTAAAATCTCTCTTATCACATTCGCATATGTGAGGAAACTCGTATTTCGTCTTATGGTTACAATCATATGGCTTTCAGCACAGTGCCGGATTTCGCTGCACCCTACCTGCAGTATCTGACGAAGTCGATAGTATCCCAGATGACTTCACGAGCGTACAGAGATATTGGACAGTTTGTAAGTATTTTTATATTTGCGTTTACGACTTCTGCCGTTCAATTTTTCTCTTATATAATTACGTCACTCTTCCATAACCAGTTTTACCTGATATTCATCCCTAATCCATCACAGATTATTTTATTTTCTCATGGTCTTCATTCTCCATTTGCAAAGTAGTACCGTCTATGCCCCAGAGAGGTCCCCATGTGAACCAGCGTGCTTGCGTGGTGCGACGCTGCCTTTCGCTCTTTTTGACATGTTTCTTCTGAGATTTCAACGGAAGTGCCCGAGGTTAACACGTTCAAAAGTGCGAAAGGCAGCGAGATGACGTGGTACCTATGGGAACCTCTCTGGGGCGCAGACGATATACTCTTTTGGAGTCTGCATCAGTTAAGATCTTCTTCTCATCAGATACCATAAATTATGTGTTTTAGTCCAGAACGTGTCACGTTTGTCTTCTAAGGAGTTTCTAGCTTTTTCAAAATCGAAAATATTTTGATATTCAAATTCGCGTCCTTTACCTGAAGTTTCTAGTATTATTTGGGGGTGTTATTGACCAAGGTAAGTTTTCTTTTCTATGAGAACCTGTGGGAATGCTTCGTCCACCTATGGATCTGAGTGCTCAAACATCATCAATTACTGTCTCTGTCAAACTTTATTTTGAGATATCTTGCAACGGTAGATCAAGCATCAAAGTGACCTGAGTTGTTATGAGCGACAAACAATCTCTCCTTATCAATAGGATTATCATAAGGTTCACTGTACAAAGTATTTCCACTAATTTTTGATGTGATATCTGGGGAATTGAATAGTGGCATTAATAGTTCAGATCCAGCAGTACCAGTGAGAAAATGGAGAATAATACGGGCGTCATTGTCCAAATTTTTAACTTCATCGATCAGAGGTCGTATGACAGTAAAAGCATCTTCTACGTTCGATGCATAGATTGGGGCTATCTTATAAAGTTTGCTAGCAGATGAAGTCGCTGGCACAAGCGACAATTCGATTGTTCCCATCGAAAAGCGCAGTTCCCGTTGTGAAAGGCAGAGCGTGAAAGCGACGTAGAAATTGCGTGCGATCGCGTTTTGTTACGGATTGGTCGAATTGCTCGAGTTGATGATATTCTTCATCCGTCAGATCACGTACCAATTTGACGAGACGATTCTGGAAGTATGCACTAATTAGATACATAGGTAGTGTATGGCCATGTAGCATTGAACTCACACTTGCGGCATACTTTTCGGCCAAGTTTGATAGTGTCTGCCATTTCATAGTATATGCATGTTGTTGGGGTCCATCGAACGGCGTGTCTTTGGATTTGTAGCGTGGGGCCATGTATGGCACTGTAGAGGAGCGATAGTCACAGTCATATTTCCAAAAGTCAACAGTTTACTTTTAAGCGTGAAATCTGACGATTGTGAAGGTGGAAGATATGAAAGAGGTTCGGGGAGAGATTTTGGGCTAGAATGATTGCAATATTTGCGGTAACATGCCCTCTGAGATCATCGCTAAGTACGGATATGACCTTTGAAGCTAAAAATTTGCTCCGAATCTTATAATCAGTCGCCTCTTGACTCATCCCTCACAAGTGAGCTTTACAGGTGCGCCGCACTAATCGTAGCGTGCGTATTTACCTCCACTAAAATATTGTCGTGCGCGGCCGCGTCTCTTAACTTGAATGATTGATGAAGATCAGCATGAGTTAGAAACGGCTGCCTTTTTACTTTTGAAGCATTTTCTTGCTTCGGAAAAGATTTTGTATAGCAAGCAATGATTTGGTTGGGCCTACTACTATCTCCTTTTGCAAGCTTACAACGGTCAAAGAAGGTACCATTTTTCAAACGAGCATCATAATGCTTGAGGGGATTGGCTTGGCAAAACTGACCCATGTCGGATTTCGGTGTCAGATAGACATCCAGTAGCACACAGTAGTCCAAACTCCCCTGTAAAGTCGAACGCTACTGGAAAATAGCCTCAAAAGTTCACTATTGACGCTCACTCAGTGGAAGTGGGGCGGCTGGTGAACTTTTTAAGCTGGTTTCAAGTACTTAGGGGAAGAATTGGAGAGTGGGGTTAGGGCTACGGTGTATATACATGGAGCGGGGGGAGGTCTCCTACTCGACAGCAAAAACTGGCAAGCGCCATTTTGCCGTGCCACTGCCTTCAGTGACCAAAAACCCATATAAAATTTTGAGTCCAAGTTCGCTGTTATTTTTTCCCAAAGACTGGGTTTTCACTAGCTACAAAATGTACCTGCTCTAAGTCCAAGTGTATAATCCTTTGGCATCCTGTCGAGCGCACGCTTCCATATGATTGATCCTATTCCCTTACCGCGAGCCTCGGGTACTAACAAATAAAAACCGAGAAACGCTATATTGTCGTACTCGTTCCACACCACACATCCAACGAAACTCCCGTCTGTAATTTTAATTACTGGAATTTGAGAAAAGGGGAGAAAAAGTATAGTGACACCTTGCTTTCTCTTTGCCATTACCACTCGCGTAGTTGGTAGTGAAGGCGTGAGGGTGGTTACACTTCTATCATCGGAAGCCCAGTTTTCTTTTTCGACTAGTTCCTTCCATTCTAACCAAGCAGGATCATTTGCTGGGACAGAATCCACAATTTCATAATCCAGATCAGTCATAATGAGACTAAAGAAGCTGTTTGGAAAAACGTTTATTGTAAGGAATAAGGTAAAGATTAGATGCAAGCATAAAATTGCTGAGGATTTCAAATTAATGGATGCAAGTTTTACAAAAATCCAGAGCAGCACGGCGGAGCAAGAGTTCATTCGTGTCACTGGCACGTACTTGCCATAAAAGATGGCCGATATCTTATCGTTGTGGCCTTGATTAATACTGCCGACATTTTTTGTGAAGTTTGATGTTGCGCAGGTATAATTAAGTTTAAAGTTAGATATGTGGAATGTTCCACGATTGTAAGACGAAAATGTTAAATTGATTGCCTTCTTAAGTATTCTGGACAGGAGCGCATTTTTCGTAAGCGATGCATTTGTCGTGCGAAGAGCAAAGTCTAACATGGTCTACGAATGAGCTAGTGGTATCAGTGCGTTCATTTGGGTCACACGCTAGAAGAAAGGGCGACATGAAGTCTTAATTTTCTTCCATGTGACTTGCAAAGTGACAGGTCGAGAATATTAATGAGTAGCCAAAAAATATTTGCACTTTTTGTAACTGAATAGTATGCGTGGTGATCTATGAATTTTTTCATGGAGTAAATGCTTCCGTTGTAACCAAAGTAGAAGCTCAGTGTGTTTTGCTCTAATTATATCAAGTACATGACTCAAGAAACGGTGTATATACGACTGCACAGAATCGCCCGGACTGAACGCCCGCGAGCGTGTTTTTTGCGGGCTAACATTGGCATTCGCGCGCATGAGTCATTCATTATAGCGCCCGTACGCGGCAGCCGCTTTGCAGGCACGCTCGCGTGCGTTCAGCTTACAGCGACTCGGGCGATTTCCTGCAGTCGACTCTAACAAGTTTTGGATAGAGGATAAGCAGTTTGTATGATCTAGTCAGTAAGACATACTTCAAGCATGAATGTTTCAGTCATATTCTCCCAGAAGGAAAGACCTGACGCCATATCTGATGTGCTCCTACCATCCAGTTAGAATTAGAGTATTGGAGTAAAATTTTGGCGCACCTCTTGAGTGAAGTTTCTTCTGGATGTAATTACAATCCATTAACCGAAGAATGACAGGGTTTCGCATATGATTTGCAGCTGAATTTTATTGCAAACACATGAGTTTATAGCGCATGCAGCTGTAATACACATTGCGGGGTTCAATGACGTTACATTTCTGGAAGCTTCACCGACAAGGCTCGGCACAACTGGCACAGGGCCAAGCTGGATATCGTTTTTGAACAAAAAGCAAAGGGGATGTCGTTTTTGTGGCCGAATGACCCAAAACTCGCGACGTTTTTCAAGGGCTTTTAGGTCTAGGGTTTAGGGGTCAAAGGGACTTCGTACGAAATTTTCAAGATCAAAGGGGACTTTGTTTTGAAATTTTCCTGATGTCTGCTCTTGCCGAGCCCTGTTCACCCAGCTTAGTGCATCTTTCACTTAGCATGATTCTTACCAACAGATTCTTTCAATATGTAGTTCAACTTCAGTATGAAATTCATTTTTTGCCAAAAGGTTTGAGAAAGAACGCTTTGCATAAATAAGCCAACAACACTTGTCTTTACAAAAAAATAAACTTTATTAGAAGATGTTTTGCAATTCTATCAAGCATCAAAATGACCCGAATTGTTATGAGCGATGAACAATCTCTTCTTATCAGTTGGATTCTCATAGGGTTTACTGTATAGAGTATAATCACAAACTTTTGATGTTATATCTGGATGACTGAGTAATGGAGCTAGATGTTCAAAACCAGCGGTATCTGTGAGAATGTGAAGGATGATGCGTGCCTCATTATCTAAGTTTTTCACCTCATCAAGTAAAGGTCGTATAACGGTAAAAGCGTCTTCTACATTGGATGCATAGATTGGAGCTATTTTATAGAGTTTGTTAGCTGGTAGAGTTGTAGGACAGACGCTGGCACATGCTACTATCTGATTATTTTTGTCGAAGAGCACAGTTCCTACTGTGAAAGGTAGATCGTGAAAGCGACGTAGGAAATAGGTTCGATCGCGTTTTGTAACGGAGCGATCGAATTGTTCGAGTTGATGGTATTCTTCATCTGTCAGATCACGCACCAATTTAACGAGGCGATCCTAAAAATATTAATTAGCAGCTAGATCTCATAGATAAAAAGCTGCTTTGCAATAAGTTACCGTTTCCGCGTGCTTCTCCGCTATGCTATACAATATCTGCCACCTCATGGTGTATGCGTATTGTTGCGGTCCATCCACCGGTGTGTCCTTGGATTTGTAGCGCAGGGCCATGCTTGGCACTACAGAAGAAAATAATATTTACATATTACATTTCTGCATTGCAGCTCTTTATTCTACTCTCACTTCCATTTATACAGGCACAACATTTAATTTTTGTTGTTTTTGGGATGCTGTCTATTTTCTTGAAAAAGATCAAAACAATTATCGGTTTAATTTTTCAAAATGCAAATCGGGGTCTTCTTGATATAAAGTCAGTGTCAATTACGTACTCCCTTTCGCATGGGAACTACGCATGCTCAACGAAAGGACCTTCAATTGATAAGGCCCATCTGAACGCCCGAGTCATACGCCGCGAACGTGGCGCAAAGCTCATTGCCGAAAAAGGAACGCGTAATTGACACGGACTATATAATATATCTTTTTGATACATTCCTGATTCTGTGAAACACTGCGTCTTAAGAAGTTTGGCGAGTATTTGTCAATAATTTTCTTGTCCAACGTATTTTCTGGTTCATCAAATTATGGCTGTAGTTTACCGTTAGTCTCTTTTGAAGCCCGCAGGTGCCCTACATCATTTTAGGATTACTGTAGATTAGTTATTAGCTACATTGTGCGGCTTTAAGATCAGAAATTAACCTGAATAACCTGATGAATTAGCGACTTTTGTTAATATTTTTGGACATAATAATTTTGAGGAGTGACTTTTTGGCATCGTAAGCTACCCAGCCGCTATAATCCGCTGTCTTCACTGAGCCAGGATTCGGCTCTCCGTAGCCCAAAACTTAAAGGTTGCTACCGTAATTCTAAGTAAAGAGAAGCGAGGGTGATTCGCTTCATACCGGGAATCGTTAAAGTCGACCTTCTCATTATTGATGGAAAAAACTGCTTATGCCATGTATCTACCACATCTTGAAGGCAGTGTCTCGGAAAAAAATCATTTTCTAGATTTTCACCTTTTCAGAGCTTTCTCGCCATAAAGAACCATATCTGGGCTTTTCAGCTCATGGAAAGCTTTTTCCGAACCTTCTCAGGTCCGCATTAGCTGGAAAATACGTGCAGGTGGGCGGGGCCCGGAACGAGGGAGACGGGGCGCGTAGGACTTGCGGCGTATCCTCAGTGAATGAGGACTTGGGAAGCCTCGGAAAAAGCTCATTTTTGCCATTTTCATACACCGAAAAGCCCAGATATGGATTCCTCATGCGAGAAGGTTCCGAAAAGATGAAAAACTGGAAAAACCTACTGCGAATACCTTGACTTTTAGGTACTTTGTGATAGATCTAATTGCAATATAGGTGCAGTACGTACCTGCTCTGAGTCCAAGTATGTAATCCTTTGGCATTCTGTCGAGCGCACGCTTCCACATGAGGGAGCCTATTCCTTTACCGCGAGCTTCGGGTATCAGTAGATAGAAGCCAAGAAAAGCAATATTGTCGTACTCATTCCAAATGACACAACCAATGAAACTTCCATCTGTGAAACACATTGAAATTAATGCGAAAAAACAAAGGATTTTTGTATGAAACCACATACCTTGCTTCTTCTTTGCCATTACAACTCGCGTAGTTGGTAATGAGGGTGTGAGAGTGAGTACACTTTGGTCATCTGAGGACCAGTTTTCTTTTTCGACCAGTTCCTTCCATTCTGACCAAACATGATCATCTGGTGGAACTGAGTCCACGACCTCATAATCGAGATCAGCCATGATAGGAATTTTTTTGCTAAAAGTGAAGTGAAATTTCAAAGTGAAATTTACAGGCAAGTCATTACAGATCGCTGAACATTTTAAAACCAACAAAGACAAGCTTCATAAAATACAGGGTGTCCCAAAAGTAAGTACACACTTTTCAATCGTTAATATCTCTCTTCCCATTGTGTCTTTTTTCGCCATTTAAGTACCATTCTGTAGAGGAGGCTTCAACATAGATTTAAGATATTGAGCGAATCACCGATCGCTCTTCATTACTGTAGAATAACTGTAGAAACTTCGACAAGGATCTCACGCCATTGAAAGCCATATTCTGCCTCGGAACAAAACCAAACAAGCTAGAAACTCTTATACTAAGGTAATGGAAGCTGCTGATTCTAAATATGAAATTTCCACTCTACTATGATGCTTATTTCTAAAGTTATTCCAGGTAAAGCGTAGTATCCGAATTCTCAATATTTGTCAGAAATGTAATTACACCGTCAAAAAAGCTGAGAACACTCATAAAAAGTTGTGTAGTGGAATCAGCGTGCGCGAAAACCTTAGTACACTATTTTTCAGATTTTTTGAAAAAAATTTTGTTAGGTGGCATATTTCACAATAGTTCTACTTGCAGGAAGTTCTTACAGTAATCCTACAGTAATGAAGATAGGTCGGTGATTCGCTTAATACCGTAAATCTAAGTTGAAGACTCCTCTACAGTAGGGTACTCATATGGCGAAAAAAGACACAATGGGAAGAGAGATATCAACGATTGAAAAGTGTGTACTTACTTTTGGGACACCCTGTATAAAGCAGAGTGAGAAATGACGGAGCAAGAGTTCACTCGCAGTGACGGCACGTATTTGCGACAAAAAGGCCATTATCTTATCGTTTGTTGTCGCCAAAATGCTGCCAAAATGTTCTTTTCGAAGTTATGTTGCATTTGTAAAATTGAATTTAGAATTAATCATTTGGAAGTTTGACCGTAAGATGGTTGCATTTTGGCTAAATCGATTTCTGTATTAGTATTCTGGAAGGGAAGTGCATTCTTCGTTTGCACGACCCGTGCGGGGGGAGCAAAGTGTAACATGATCTGCTAATGAACTTTGAGACAATGCGTCCATTTGGGTCACAAGTTGGAAGATAGAAAGGCGACAAATTATGAATTCAAATGTTTCCTTTCCACGACATGCAAATGCTATGACAAAGTCCAAAATCCAAATGAATAGCCATAAAATATTCTTTTTAAAACTGAATAATGCATGGAGATCTGTGCTAATTCTCGTGATAAATTGGAGAATGTAAGTGCTTTCATTGTTAACAAAATAGAAACTCAGGTAATTCGCTTTCAAGTATTCTGAGTACCCTAAAAGTTCACAGATAGGGTCTCCTCTCAGATAAGTCCATCTGCGGGTAGGTCCTGACTTATTTGACATTCTTCGGACTTATCTGACAAGTTTTAGGGTATTAATTATAATAGACAAAAAGGACTGATTTGTAAGGCGGACTTAGCTGAAGGATCTAGGCCGGCGATGTTAGAAAAGGGCATAACAGTTTTGAAGAAAGGATAAGCCGTTTTCTGAGGATGTTGTAGTAAATCTATCAGCCATTATTCAAAAAACTTGTATTCTCTCAGAACAAAACATATAATGCCAGATTTGATGTGCTCCTAGCTCCAGTTAAAAAGATTTTTGGCCAAACTCTGAAGTTTCTCAATATAATTGTCAGAAATGTAAATGCAACACATTAGCGAAGAATAACAGGGTTTTGCGTATATTTACAGCTTTTTAGGCAAAGACATGAGCATAGTGCACACAGCTGTAATTCACTACACAATGTTCACAAATGACGTAACAATTATGGAGACTTCTTGCAGCTGACTGCAATGATCATTTAGCGCCTTTGATTCGTACTGACTGTATTCTTTCAGTATGAACTGGAAGAAGTCTCGCTATCGGCGTTGCTTGGGTTGTTGAGACGATGCTATGTCGATGCTCGTGCCGTTGTCCGGAGAGATCCAGCCGTGGCTTTGCTCACACAAATTCTAAATGACACGCCAGTCTATAGGGCGGTTAGTTAGTGGAAAACGATTTTGGACAAGTCCAGCATCGCCAACGTTTGCAGATTTGCTCAGTGCTTCTTGAAGATGTGAACATTCACGATCAAACGAGTAGGACGCTGAAAAGGACGTCTGCGCCAGCGTTGCCCGCTATCGAACTTCTCTCAAGTCAGTTGCTTTAAAATTAAAAGTTCTTTTTTTCCCGAAACATTATTATGTTTAGTTGCCGTTTCTCGTTATGCTGCATTGAAAACCTCCATCCGAAGCACGGACTCGGACATGATGCTTGCTCCGCTGCATACGTTGCTTCTATCACCATTGCAGCCGTCTGGTCTGAACATTCTGGACATTCTGTTGCTTTACCTAGAGGAGGTAGGGCCTGCTGTTTATAGTTTTCTCCATAGGTCTTTTCATCCTAGGCTGAGAATCTACCGCGGCATGCGCTACATGCAGCTCGTATACTGAGAGAGCTATGTGCCGTTAGGCCATCGCTACAAACAAGGATGGTTGAGTTGCTAATAGCACGAAGAATGGTGGCGCGAAACGTTCGAGCCGTACGTAGTGCATTGAATCCGGCAACAATCAGGTTCACAATCGCGGATATGGATGCTGTAGGTAAGTATTTTCAGATGGGGCTAGGCTGTTACGTATGAGAAGATAGACTATGTGGATACGGGAAAGGGGTGGCTTAACCATTTTTATTTTGCTTAATTTCAAGAAATTAGTTTTTATGCAGCAGAACTCCTTATATAGAATTACTTCATAAGTCTCTTCAATGAAACGCAGATTTTCCAGAATTTGACGAAAACGATCCAGTTCGTGCAAGGGGCGAAGCTGCTCTTGTCCTTCTGGAAACTCTCTCAGGTAAATGTAGAGCTTTTTCATAGCAATATCCCACTGTGTACGAGCTTGATATCACCTTTTCGTTGTCCAAATTTGTGCATACTAGATCTAAATTTATCACCTTTTCGATGTCCAAATATGTGATACTCGATCTAGGTTGAGATTTGAGTCGGTATTACTGCACTGAGTTGTTTTTTTTTACAGATTCTATCGAGACGGATCCAGGCGAAACTAACTTATGTTCCCTGCTTTTTGGTTTCAACAGCAGTGCTGCTCAAATATCCGGTCAACTTTTTGACATAGGTAGGAGCCAGTTATTTTACTTCAACTCATGGCTTTGCTAGCAAATGTATTTTTTCTTCATTTAGACGCGCCACCGACTGGATTTCACCAAGTTCTGTCCATCTTGGAGCAATTTATTGCCTCGCCTGACCCATTCCAGCTCCCATTCTCAGCCCTGATTGAGCCAGCTTTTCGGCTACTGGTGCGTTCTGTTCGCTTTGAACGAGGTCTGTTTGAGATTGTAATTTTTTTTTCAGCAAAGGCTTGTGTCTGTGGATTGCATCTACTCACAAGCAGTACTTCGCTTTGTTCGCTCTATGGATCTGATCCGACAACTGGTCAAATCACCGTTTTTGTCCACTCCGTTGTCGCAGGTACACTCCTAAATGCTACTGTTAGCAGTCGCTTAGGATTATCTATTTGTCTTTCAAAGATAATGAACACTGAAAAATGGGTGTTTGTGGTGGGAATATCGAAATTTGAACGCCCATGCCTTTTTGTTCAAAAAAGATCAAATTTACCGATGTTGCATGCTCAGTAAATTTGATGCCAAACTCTTGTTACTGCCCTATGAAACGAAATGTTCTGCTTTTTAAAGGGTTGAACAACGATTATAAAACTGCGTTGTTTTGTTAAAATTTGATCTATTTAGAATCCAACTGATAGCCCGACTCTCTTGTCTGTTACTCGCATGATTTCTGGTTCCATACTCCATCTAGCAGCCTTAGAAATATCATCTTTGCTTAAGTCCGGTATGTTCATAAATTTCTCTTTACCAATTGCTAGACAATCGCATGCCGTATGCAGGGCACTTCGAAGAGCCACATGAGATCTACAGTACCTTGCTGGAGCCCTCGGATGCAGTTATCAATCAGGAAGAGACTGGAGATGGGGGAGTGAATAGTTTACTATTGAGGTAATAGCATTACCGAAATGAACTATGTTCCTATCACTGTCTTGAAAATTTAAGCCTACTTCGCTATGGCCACGTCGAAATCACTGAAGAGATTGAATATCCACGCTTGGTGCATTTTAACGCTCAAAAACTCCAAGCGGTGAGTTATAGCGCATATCCTTCTCGCTTTTTGGTGTCAAGATCTAGCTCCCTTATATTTCAGGTGTTTGATGTCTGCAAAACGACTACTGTATTTAACATCGCACAGTATGATATCGAATACTTGCATGCCCTACTTACACGTGAGATTGTCAGCACACAAGCGGAGGACACGGGTGCTGTCACTAGAGTGGGTGATCTTTGTGATCTTCATGTTTACTAGATTAAATTAATTGTTTACTAAATTATTGTGTCGCTGTAATGCGCGGAATTTTTACGTAAGTTCCTAAAAAATTTTTTTCCTCAGATCTACTGTTGAATTTGCTGTTGAGCTTGGAGTTTATGAAACGAAAACAATTGTTGTAGGAAATGGAGGCAGTTTTAACTTATGGCACGGACATTAATGCTCAGTTGTTGCAACGAGGTGCATCTGAACAATTAGTTTCGGGATGCACAGCACTGCTGAATGTCATGGCTTTGTTTGCGCCGGTACCATTCTTCTCAATTAGTAAGTCGTACACTGAATTTTTAATTTTTATAGTGTTACTGTTTTTAATCTTTTCTCATTTGAGCTGTTCAACTCAATTTTCTGACTGACACCGCATTCCTGCTCGTGGAATATTTGAGTGGCTGTGGAGCGGATGAACAAGTAGCTGTGTGTGGAACACTATTTCGGTTATGCAAAACTATTTGTGCTCTAACGAAGCAAAAGTATCCAGAGGTAGCTTTTGATTCACTTATGATTAGTATGCCCTATTGCACGTTTATTTTGACTGCAAAATATAACATCATCACTATGAAATCGATATTTATGTCTTCTTGGCCTTCTCGACGTAGACTGCATTCGCAGCTGCTCCAGCTCCAACAACGGCACCTCCACCGAAACCACCACGGAAGCCCCTTGATGGGCACTGGCAGTATTCTGCGTCGCGTCCAGGTCTGCCGATATTTCCATCTCCTCCGGGTGGTCCGTCGATTCCCTTTGGTCCGGCTGGTCCAGGACCTCCTGGTACCCCAATTGTTCCGGGTTGACCTGTTGGAGGGGTTTGCCCTGGATATCCTTGTGGTCCGGGATCTCCTGCAAGTCCGCGTTGCCCTTTTGGTCCAGGTCGACCAATGGGCTTGCGTCCGTCGGTTCCCTTCTCTCCTGGACGTCCTTCTGGTCCGGGTCGTCCTTGAGGACCACCGGCTCCCATCTCTCCAGGCGCGCCGGGGTTTCCGTCGTGACCAGGACGGCCGATGACTCCATCAGCTCCCTTCATTCCACGTGCTCCTGGACGACCAACAGGGCCAGGAGCGCCGGGAGGTCCAGGTGGACAGTGGAAGCATATTCCAGTCTCTTGAGATACAGGACTAACATCGGCAGCATCCGCTCCTGGTTTACCGTCGACTCCAGGAATACCGTTGGGACCGGGAGCGCCAGGAATTCCTAAAGAGATGGAATGAATTCTTTGCTTTTGGAACTACTCCCTGACTCTTACCCTTTGGTCCAGGTGGTCCGTGGCGACATCTGTTTTCACTGGAGCTTCTGCACTGACAACCGGGTGAGGTCGGGCCGGGACCAGAGGGAGCTTGAGCGCCTCCTCCGTGCGCAGGTGCGCTGCCACCGAATCCTCCTCCTCCTCCACCACCAGAACCGCTGCCACCGAAACCTCCGCCGCCGCCGCCACCACCGAAACCTCCGCTGCTGCCGCCAGCACCGAAACCTCCGCTGCTGCCGCCAGCACCGAAACCTCCTCCGCCGCTACCTCCATGATGTCCTCCGCCACCACCAGCTGGAGCTTGAACGTAAGCTTCACGACGTCGACGAGTTGTGCCAATATGAACCAGATCCTTCCACATCTCGTCAGTTTGGGTCTGAAGAAAACCATATTTTCTGCGCATAGTGAATGATTTCATCTGTTAGCATACTCTAATTGCGCTCATCTCTTGATCCAACTCTTGCCAGAAGTCTTGCACATTGCTGTAAATTTGCCCAATGGCCATGAGGCACACCAGCAGCACTATGCCACTAAGGGAGCTGGCGACGAAAGTCACCGTATAGACTTTCATACCTGTTGGGATAAGAGTGTTTTTCGATTATGGTGAAGTAAACGATGCAAAGGAACATGGCATTGCTAAAATGGATGTGTATGGAACGATGTGACTCCAAGAAAATCTACCGTAGACATGCTTTTTTCACGATTAAATTAAAGAAAATGTCGAAGAAAAGTTTCTTTTGTTGTGATGGGCTATAAGGAACTGGAGATATATGATCGTACTAAAAAGTTTCTCTTATATAAGATCTCGACCCGGACACTCGACTTATCTCTAACTGGTTCGCTCGCGAACTTGAAGAACCGGTAATCACCATGCGCTGTCGTGGTGTTACCAGTTTCGACCTCTGCTTTCTCTTGACTAGTGATTAGATTAATTGTTTGCTAGGCTTGTTTGATTGATCACATTTATTACAAAGTTTCTCTTTTGAAGGTCACTGAACAACGAAATATGCTGGCAAATTTGCTTAATCCGATTCTGGAGTTGCTGATTCAACCAGGAGAGTGGCCTCTGCAGGCCAAAGTAAAGCCGAAATTTATATGATACAGTTGAATTCCACGTATTGCTTTAGATATGTATCTATAGCAGTGCCAGGGTGTGTCTGAGAAATGCTTATGTTGCAGAGGAGACCAAGGTACGTTATGAGGATTACCGTATTTAGTTTGATGACATTTGACGCATGAAAGATGTTCCTTTCAGGATCCAAATGAGAAGAACGCCGATTGGTTGACAAGTGGTCTGGTAGTTGGTGAAGCAAGCACAGATCCGATTTTGGAAGTTCTTAGCAGCAAGGCTCATGAACTAAGCCAGTGCATTGCCAGAGATATTGTGGATCTGCCTCAGGAACACAAGGTTAGTGAAATATGTGCACTTATACACTACATGAGCCTATACCGAAGCGTTTTCTTATTTTTGGAATATAAGCTTTAAAATTCATCTTCCTCTTTCTTTCTTGTCACCCATGTCTCTTATCAGGCGAACTTGCACAAAGCTAGCGAACCTAGCTATTTTTATGCCGCAAATTGGCCGTTTTTGTACGAGTTTTTTCTCATCCATCTTCCGCAGTACGGGCGTTTCTCAGTGTTTGCCGTAAGATTTTATTTGCATCACTGCGTGATTAGCGCCAAAGGTTTCACTCCATATGTCTCGACAATGAGAGAGTTGACATCTTCTTGAGAGGTGTGGGGATACGGTAACACAACTGCGGAAGGGCTACGAATAAGGGCAGGCGGTCGATAGCCGTGTGGTATCTGTAAGGTCCTCTTAAGAATAAACCCTTTAATTACACAAAATCTACCGTTTTATCCGTTTGTGTGATAGCGTCTATGTAGGCGAATTCTCGTCTGGTGATGCCAATGAGAGGGCATTTATCCTGTAATTTCAGTTCTTGTTTGATAATGGGTGATAGAGTTGACTTACATCTGCTTGTAAAATTCCTATAGTGGTTAAATGGTTTATGGGGCACTCGTTACTTAGGCCCATTTCCTCGTAACTATCAAAGCTTGCTAAGGTATGAGCAGCCGGAAGCTGGTATGATCTACAATCTACTTTGTGCCTGTCTAGAAAATAAGAGGAAAAATGGAACTGACTTTAGAGGCATGTACATCCGACCGGGGAGCCAATAGGCTTTGCTGAATTTTGTATGCAATAAATTGATAAACAATGAAACAATAGATAATCCTATGAGCAAATAGATGAATAGCAGTAGCAGAATGACAGGATGTCCTAAATTAGAGTTGTAAAATTATCGGGTTCGCAATGACTTTAGTCATTTTCACATTGAATTTGAAAAATTGAAATCATCACTTCTTTCCTCTATGAGGATTTTTTTGATGATGGCGACTCTTGATTTTATCCAAGAGCTGTTTTGAAAGGGGTGCAAATTTTTATTTAAAGCGTTAGGGCGGGGAGGCGTTACAAAAAGGATGTGCATTATAGCTGATAGGTCCGCCAAAGCTAGGACTTTTGGCTCCAGTATTATGTGGTTCCACAAAATATAACATCATAAAATTCATGCATTAGTTGAAAATTGTTGGGAAGTTCCTTTCAGTGGTTTGAAATGGTGCGCGAAAATCACTGTACAGAAAGAGCTGAGGACGCGTAAGCAGTGCTAAGGCTATAAAAAGAATTAGAAGTCTATCAACAGCTTACTGTTGTTAAAGAACTGCATCATATTCTGCGAAACTACATATTTATAAAATCAAAAGCAAAGCTTTACAAAAAGCACATCCATTTTCCTAAGACTAGCATAATGTACAGAAATGAGTAACTTGCATAATTATACTCACTTCCTGGTTCGATGTCTCCTACGCCAATAGTTGCTAATGAATTGAATATGAAATAGAAAGTGGTGGATGTATCTTGGTTTGGCATATTGAAGTGTATAACAAAGCATCCGAGACAAATCCAGCCAACCAAAGCCATCACAGCTACTGTTACCTAAAATTTTCCATGTGAAGGTAGCAACCAGTGAAATAATATTGTTTGTGATTCTTACGGGTATAGCCAGCAGCCTTTCCGTGTTTTTTAGACGATAGTCCTTTCTCTCTGCGTGCTCTCCATGTAGTTTTTTATCTAGCTCATCTTCGTCAGCCGCTCGAAGCGTACAGAACCGAAAAGCTGCCCAGCATTTGACTGTAAGAGAAGTGAAATGAGCATTCAAGATAAAACATGAGAAAACTAACCCAATAGAACGCTGGGATAGTTCATCAATTTTGCAATGATATAAGCTAAATCTTTTATCACAATAATTGTGAAAGGAATGCCAATGAGGCTGATAAAGATGGAAAGAATTCTTCCAGCACTTGTGACTGGATAGAGATATCCGTAGCCGATAGTGGTAATTGTTGAGAAGACCTGCTTTTGAAACTTTTAAGTATATTGGGACAATTAACTTGAAATGTAAAGTAGTTGCAAACTCACGAATAAAAGCGCATTTGGAAATGTACATGGTAAAGTAGGCATCGGTGGTCGAAGCTTGAGCTGATGGTTTTCATAGAGTTCCAATCGTTGATTTACTACAGCAGTCAAATACTGCGATTTTTGATCGTGAATATATAACAGCAGCTTGGTGTTGTTGAAAATTTCAGGCAGTAGTTCCTTCACTACAAATCTGCAATGTTTGGTATAAAAAATACAGTCTCTCTATTCTGTAGTTTCGAAATAAATAGACGATTTCCTGCTCTCGTCCCCTAAAGCATCACTTACCAAATGCATGCTTTTAGGCGCACTTTGTCTCTGCTTCATCAAAAGTCTACTGGATTTTGCTATGCCGATCATACCACTTTTGATACTGGAACTTGGGGGGATCAGGTTTTTGGTATTCTTGATATATACCTTTACGAACGTTTTCAAGAAAGAGACCTTGTTCAGAAAAATGTTGTCTATACAAATTTGCATGAATGAATGAAAGTTTTTATTGAATGAATTATATTAGTTTTTGCATGGTCTTTTGTTTTTCGAGGTGCTGACTTGAGCACCCAGTCTTACACATAACTTTTCATGATGGATCCAGTTTACTTTAATTTCATGCAGATGTTTGTATATACAGTGCTGGCCATAGCTATAAAGCCACCCTAAACATCACTGTAATTTGCTCTCTCTTGCTCAAAATTGTCTGGAAAACCACTATTCTGTGTGCAAACTAACGTCATACCATTGACCAGAACGGCTCCCAATTTCATTGATTTTGGCAGAGAAAAATTGAAAAATTTGGAAAAAGGGGTTCTCAAGGCTGGTCACAGCTATAAAGCCACCTCTCATTTCCAATCAGTACTACGTTTTTTGAGGCTGAAATTTCTTGTACATATACAATATCAAAATATAAAGCGTTTACCATACTTGGAAGCAGTCGCCTATTCAAAAAGAAGATTCATCGTGCATTTTCGGCTTCAAAATGTCTAAAAATTTATAATATTTGGAAAAACTGCCTTTTCACCGAATTTTGAAGCATTTGTTTGATTCGAATGAAGGTCCTAGGCTTCGCCGAGCCTTTGCAATGAATATGGTGAAGAGCGCAGTAGTCAACGTGGCGTAGTCGCTGATATTGATAAACGAGCCCTAACCTCACCTTCAGGTAGACGAGTTTTCGAACCGCAGAAATTGAGTTCTAATGCCCGAAAAGCTCTGTCACGTGCTCACCACGTCGCCTGTACAATGATAGACTCGTGCGCACAGCTCGAACGTCATCGCAACTCTCAGGATTTTCTTTTCGCCTTAAACGCTTTTTTTTCCAAAAATGAGTGGTGCACTCTGCCTGATCGTGACGCACTCTGACCTCTCAATCAAGCGGAAAACCACTCAAAACTCCAAAATTTTGGTATTCCTGATAGTTTTGTAAGATTTGACTTAAAGAGGAGTTCAAAGCAGTAAAATTTGAAGTCATGTGAAATTCACTGCGCACCACCGAACTGCAGGCAAAGCGTTTTAAGTTCAATGCTGCAATTACATCTTTGTAAAAAGTCTGACAGCTTCTGCATGAGTAGGTCACCATGCGAACAAGGTGTCAACTTTCAACCGAAAATTTTCGCGCGTAAGAAATCGAGATTCGCGTCCCAGAAATGCGTTTACACCTAGGTAAGATTGAGCTTCGTTCATCAATATCAGCGACTTCGCCATGTTGACTCCTGCGCTTTCCACCATACTCATTGCAAAGGCTCGGCAATGCCTAGGACCTTCATTCGAGTCAAACAAATGCTTGAAACTTCGGTGAAAAGGCAGTTTTTCCAAACATTATGACTTTTTATACATTTTGAAGCAGAAAATGCAGAATGAATCTTCTTTTCGAAAAGGCGACTGCTTCTAAGTGTGGTAAATGTTTTATATTTTGATACTGTATACGTACAAAAAATTTCAGCCTCAAAAAACGTAGTACTGATTGGAAATAAGAGGTGGCTTTATAGCTGTGACCAGTTTTGAGAACCCTTTTTTCAAATTTTTCAATTTTTCTTCTGCCAGAATCAATGAAATTGGGAGCCGTTCTGGTCAACGATATGTCGTTAGTTTGCACACAGAATAGTGGTTTTTCAGACAATTTCGAACAAGAGAGAGCAAATTACAGCGATTTCTAGAGTGGCTTTATAGCTATGGCCAGCACTGTATATAAGGTTGCACACCTCTTTCATGAAAATGAAACATTGACTAGCGTAGCGGGCACATGCTTACTTTCACCCTCTCCCATAAAATTTGTTGTGAAAATGACAAATGCGCACGCACTTTCGTTTTTGATAATTGGAAGTTGATTTTCTTCTTTTGGGCATGATCACCGCTTATTTTTTGTTTGGAAAAAAGTTCGTCTTGCGCCCATTTTCCTTCCGGCTGAAAAATTCTCTTGACCGCCGCTGTTGGTAGTAATGAATGTCTAGAGCATTGGATAATCAAAAACTTACGAATTTCGATCGACGGCTAATCTTCTCTGCCACTGACGCCTAAATTTGTCCGAATTGAAGGACTCGAGAACAAAAAATACTGCAGCGGACGCCACAATAAAAGACACATATGAAGAAAGCAGCAATAGATGGCTGAGGCTGCAAATATGATAGATTTGTTTTGCGCTCTTTCTATAGGTTTCCGTAGTTTTGGGCTTTGTTGGAAATTTATTACGTTTATTTTTTCCTCTCTGATGAACATTTCTTTTCTTGAGAAGGAAATTCTCATCAGTATATGCGAAATTGACGCTTAGGGACCAAAAACAACCACAGAATTATTTTTGTGTAAACATTTCCGAGTAGCTGTCACTGCATAATAAGTAAAATTGCCTCTAAAAGTAACGTAATGGCTCACTTGTACTTGTGGTAAATCCTCTTTGCAAACAGCACTAGGCGATAGGCTTGGGAGTTTGTTATGCACATTCTAAGCCCAAAAGGGTGTAATGGGGGCCTTGCAGCATTAGCCTGAAATGAGCGTATGACCCTTTGAAATCTTGCTTTGCGACACAGAATTGTGTAGAGATAAAGAACCATCAATCATGAATCACTGCAAATAAGAGGAGAGTTGACATGAATAGGCGAAGCCAAGGGTGCAGCAGGGTCTTGGTCAAATACTGCACCAACTCTCCAGAGTAGAAACTGAACAGTGGAAAATGTTTAGATTCAATCATGAACTTGTAGCCTTAGAGCGTTTCTTGTCATTCCTTAGATTTGGATGGGACCTACTTTGCAAAGAGCAAAGGTTAAAAAAAGATGCATATGCATTTTTACTTCACTTTTTTAATATGTAATCAAAACTGACCAGCGTTTGAATAATTGCGCAATTTTGCAATGTTCACTGTGTACCTTCAAGTCTTCGTGAATTTCTTGGTTTTTGTATTGGCGAAAATAGCGAGTAGCTGTCGAATACTTGTAGAGTTTAGCTATGCAGGCAATTTCTATGTTCCATCGACTTTGTCGTGAATTTTCTGGATTTCCCGTTGTACGACAAACATTGAGGCAAAAAGTGACTGCACTCGTGATTGGAAGATTTTTGTTCATGTGATTTTTAGGAGGACCTTGAAATGTGACCTTCACCTAACTGTACCCGTTCTGGAGTATTTTGCCATGAATAATGACCCCGATATTGCTTGATGGCTTTAGTTCTGGGCTTTGTTCTAAAATTTGTAAAAGTTATCTAAATTCAAAAAGAACGTCCGCATTATATCTTATATATAAAGCTGAATGTCTGTTTGTCTGTCTGTATGTCTGTCTGTCTGTATGTCTGTCTGTACGTATGTTCCGAATAGAAAATTCCATTTCTGAACCGATCCGGACCAAACTTGGCACACATATCCTTCGGGGCCGGGCGGGTGTCATAGGCTACTTTTCGTCATCGATCGATATCGATTTTATCGATTTTTATCGATTTTTTTGCTGAGTTCACCTACGGGGCTGGGAGTTGGCACAGGGAGGTAATCGAGCATGGGGATTCCGAATACAATATTGGTTTTCAGGATTATCGATTACTTTTATCGATTTTATCGATTTTTTTGCAAAGTTTGAGCTAGGGGGCTGGGAGTTGGCACGGGGGGGGGGGTAATCGAGCATGCTGATCATCCCCAAGGGGGGTGATCAGCATGCTCGATTACACCCCTGTGCCAAATTCCAGCCCCCTAGCTCAAATTTTCAAAAAATTGATAAAATCGATAAAAGTAATGGACGATCTTGAAAACTAATATTGTATTCGTAATCTGCATGCTCGATTACCCCCTGTGCAAACTCCCAACCCCGCAGGTCAAACTTTACAAAAAATCGATAAAATCGATAAAAGTAATGGACGATCCTGAAAACTAATATTGTGTTCGTAATCAGCATGCTCGATTACCCCCCTGTGCAAAATCCCAGCCTCGCATGTCAAAATTTACAAAAAATCGATGAAATCAATAAAAGTAATCGATAATTCCGAAAAGTAATATTGTATTCGAATACATCCCCATGCTCACTTCCCCCCTGTGCCAACTCCTAGCCCTATAGGTGAACTCTGCAAAAAAATCGATAAAAATCGGTAAAATCGACATCGATCGATAACGAAAAGTGGACTGTGACACCCGCCGGGGCCCGAAGTGTATGTGTGCCAAGTTTGGTCCGGATACGGCGGAGCCGGGTGAGCCAGCTAGTTCACTATAATTTTATAGTTCCCATTTTAGTAACTCACAATGGACTAGGAGATTCCAAAATAGGATTTCTTCGGTTACTTTCATTATACAGAAAAGAAATACAGCATGATTTTTCTTCTCATTCCATGTTCGCTGGCTTTGGAAAATACTTATGAAAATAGGGTGGATAGAATCTAATTTTATAGACATTTTCTATGACGAAAACTTTTGAGACTTATAAAGTTACAGTAGGATTTTCTCCTGCACAAGGTCATGGCTTGATAGCTCAGAGACAGAGAAATTTTGTCATGGCAAACTGTAGTGCCGAAAGGCAAAGGAGTGACGGATGACGGATTGTTTGTCTTTCCAAGCTGTCTATATCTTTCAAAGAAGAAATGAGGCGAAAACGAAGATAAAGAGAGATAAGACGCTTTAGTAGCGCATGTCGCACGCGAGGAATATATGTTGTGTGTCAAACCGACGCCCGGAATGCCTCCGGGACGTGTCAGTATAGCAGCTTTCATTTGTTCCCCGGGGAATGCTTATGTCATCAATCTTTCCTGGTCTTATTCAATCACTTCTAAGTAAGCAAACTCATCTTGTTTTGTTTGGGAAGATTAGAATCTGAGACTCATATATTGTTTTCAGTGTGCCAAAAAGTACTAGAGTCATTCTGGTGAACACAACGCTAAATCTGGGTCATCAGTTAGGTGGGGAGCAGTTTAGCTATGAGAAGATAAATGAGGCTGTAGATCTATTTCAGCGATGAAAGAACTAATTCTTGTGTCAGGGCGTTCGCAGTTATGGGAAAAACTTGCTGCTTTTTCTGAATCGGCTGGTTGCCAGAGAGCATTTAGACTGGCTTTTGGCACTGAGATGGGTACTTCTCGGCTAGTTAAAAGTTTATCAGACAGATTTCAGTGGTAAATGTCTGGTGTGTTTATACTGGGAAGGCCTCAGCTAAGACATTTCAGCTCATGTGATTCATTTGCCAAGAGATATCTAGTCTTTAGACCATACCGTAATCTCTCTATGCGCGCATTCCAGCGTTCTTAAAACTGTCCACCCTAAGTTAGGGGTCTCCAGCTTTTGGCAGCACACAATAGTAGGGCCCCTTACTATGTCAGTGTTCAGATTGTGGCGCAAAATGTCGCTTGTGAAGCTAGAAAATCGCTCCGGAACAACGGAGAGAGCAGAGTACCCCTAGGCGGCAACGCCTCTCCAGTAAGGCCCGCCCATCCGTGTTCGCCCAAATTGTCGTGACGGAAATGCGTTCCGCGGGTTGTCCGGAGCTGGGATTGTGGGGGTTTTCGCGGACTCCCGACTTCATATTCGTTATCAGGGACATGAGAAGGCACCGAAACGACAAAAATGTGGAAGTCGAGATCCGGGTGAACGGTGCCTTCAAATAAGGTAGAATGTGCGGTCCGTGGAATTGGTCGAACTATGCCATAAGCGACATACGAGCTTTCGTTTGACCAATGGTTTCTCTTAGAAAGTACCGAGATATTTTTGTCTGGACGTGCCTTAGTTTACCTTAGTTTTTGCTCTTTAGTTGTTTTCGGCTTCGCAATCTCTTGTTTATTCTCTCACTATTCTCTCTAGTCTATGTTATAATCAGTATACAAAATACAATTGTTATCGAGCTAAAGTTCAAAGAAAGTGTTGTAGTGAAAGGGTGCAACTGTTATGCGTTAGTTTGTATATCTCATTCTGAACACTTCCGTAAATTTTCAAAATTGGGCTATCCTTTCGATTTCACTTAATAATTATTTTAGGCTACTCCACTCCTTTTGCTAAGTGATGTGCTGCATGAGGACCCTAGAAATGTGAGGACTTCGTTACTTTTTCATACTATCAGTTACTGTGAAACTACCATAACATCTTTTCAGTTCACATCTCAAATATCAAAGACGGGTGTTGCGAGGTACATGACAGACTTGCTGGCTGCAATGAAAATTGACTGGATTGCTTTATCGAAAGGAGATCCTGACGCTATGCATGAGCATGCTCTCTTCAAAAGTCTTGTGGTGAGTTTACAGATAAATGTCAGGGTGGAAAATTCATAGTTGAAAAAAAAAACACTTTGTGCTACTTGACTTTCTTTTTCTCCAGTTATCACACCTCATAAAACAGTCGTTTTTCCTTTTTTATCAACGTTTCAAGGAGCATCTCGATGTAGTTCGTCAAACATCTTATTGCACTATGCATATACTGAATATCGGTTCAACTGAAATATGAATTTGAAGTGGTTGAAAAAAAAACAAGTGTGAGGTTTGGTAAGATCTGCCATGCAAATCTTATGAGGAGAAAGCGAAAGATTTTTTGAATTTATCAAGTGAGTCTATCAGAGAATTCATCTAGGGACTAATCCTGCCCTAGCTGAGCGTTCTATGGCCTTCTGAAACGTAAACAAGAACTCATACACAAACGAGCGTACTAGAAGGCTTTTTGTGAATCGTCAGGGTTTCGACAATCTGGCAAGCTCGAAGTTCCATTCTGAAATTCCAAGATGAAACTTTGAGTTTTTTGATAGCTTGAACACTGCTAACGAAAACGAAGAAAGCATTGGGAGCTATGATTGGTAAAAAATACGAAGAAGATAATGACCCAAGTCTCGAATAGCGCAAATGACCCCTTTGACTACTGCTAAAGTTGAAATGTTTTTACTGATTATATTAGGTTGTCTCATAATTAAAGCACGTTTTTCTAACCTCTTTTTGAGAGAGCTGATTTTTAAAGAGAAAACATTTTTCTTTAACACATTGACGACTAAGGCGTTTCATGGACCGGTCATCATTTTTTAGATGAAGTCACGCACAATTCCATCTACAGTACACCTACAGTAACTCTGGAATGCTGGCAAAAACAGTAGAGGTTGTGTCTAGGTACACCACAAAAGAAAACTCCCGGATTGGGTTTAACATAAAATAGCAGCTATTTTAACGATACACATGGCGCGTCAAGCCTTGACACACCATGTGTGTCAAGCGGTCGTCAATGTGTTAAAACCCTTATACTGTCGGAAAGCCCGAGTCCTCTAGTTTCTAACATATGCTTTCTTTTTTGCAAATTTTTGTTGAAGCCGAAGTTTCTTGCCTTCAAAGACAAGTGATTAAAATATGAAATTCTTTCCCTTCACTCTCCTTGCTCTAAATTCATGAAAAGTAGACGAATTTTCTTCAAAAATATGAATAATGATCGAGAAGCTTTGTACTACAAAATGCTTGCAACTATGAGATTTTTGAAAAATTTCCAGCCGAAAAATCTTATCTCAAACTTGGCTGGTAGGCTGAGGCCCATCTAAGCCGCATAAAAATCTCAAGCGAAAAGCTACTGTATTAATTTCGCTATGTTCACGTAGAGTAGACCTAGCACAACTATTGGTAGGAGAACGGCAGCATTTCATCGTCTTTTCGAAGAGAAAAAATTCAAAAAATCCCAAAAAGGCAGTTTTTTGGATTTTCCAAAATACTGAAAAAATGGGTACTTCCAGTTTTTTTTTGCAAAATTTTCTCACAGGAATATGCCGTAAAATTCGAACTTCACTCCATTGCACAACCAACCATCGGCTATATAATGAGCAAAGTCCGTGCGATCTCAGTACATTTAAGCGCAAGTTAAGCTCTCTCAAAGTATAGGTTTCTAAAAAAATGTTCGGGAATTTTTTAGGCCATAAAATCTTTCTTAGAGTGGCTGTGATCTTACAAAAACATGCATTCTATAGTCAAAGGTTTGTTGTTTGCACTGATTTTTATTGCGCTCAAAAAGATGATTTTGGGAAAGAGTTATCTTGATTAGAAGTTAAAGTTTATAAAACGTGCATTAATTATGAGACAACCTAATATTTATTTGCTATGAGAATTGGTAATCCGTGACTTTATGAATTTCAGCTCGCTCTCACACGGTTGTCTCTTACGGAAAGTGGATGGAATGCTTTGGCCGAGCTGGCACTACCAGAGGTGAGGTTTCTGCTCCGGTTGTTTCAAGCATTTCAATTTATTAGGTTGTCCGGAAATTAATGCCCGTTTTGAATTTCAACCGCGATAAGTCATGAACTTCTCATTTCTAAATAGGTTGAAAAGTACCATTCGATAGAGCAAAGCAAGCTCTACAAGATGGCAATTTTGCTTTTGCAACAGCTCTCTTTACCTCGAGTTTTGAGCCAAAAACTAAAAAGACTCATCAGCCCGAAAAATCGAAAAAAAATCGTAACTCAGTTCATAAAAATCCTACAAAAATTCTAACTTGCTCACGTAAACACTATCCACATAAAACATCTTTATACGCCTTTGCCGTATTTTTTTCTCTGTTAGAAATCAAGAAAACGGAAATTTTCATGCTTTTGCCAAAGTGATGCTGTGTCGTTCCCACATAAGTAGATGTGTACTACTAATCTGTAGAAGTATAAACGTAAATTTTTAGCTTTTTACAAGCTTTAGTTCTCGAGAAATATCGAATATAGCTTTTGCTGGTCAGGTGGTCCAAGCTAAAATATGTGGGAACGACACAGCATAACTTTGGCAAAAGCATGAAAACCGTTTTCTTGATTTCTAACAGAGAAAAAAATACGGCAAAGGCGTATAAAGATATTTTATGTAGATAGTGTTTACATGAGCGAGTTGGAATTTTTATAGGATTTTTATGAACTGAGTTACGATTTTTTTCGATTTTTCGGGCTGCTGAGTCTTTTTAGTTTTTGGCTCGAAACTCGAGGTGGAGAGAGCTGTTGCAAAAGCAAAATTGCCATCTTGTAGAGCTTGCTTTGCTCTATCGAATGGTACTTTGCACCCTATTCAGAAGTGAGAAGTGTATGACTTATTGCGGTTGAAATTCAAAACGGGCATTAATTTCCGGACAACCTAATATAACTCCGCTGCAAAGGAAGTTTTTGAAGTTTGGAAACAGTGTGATCTCCCTGCTTGGAGATGCTAGGAATGGCCTTTTCACCTATTATGAACTTTTGCTTTTCATGTTGGCTCAATCATTCGGTTTTAAAAATGCACTTCCTCCACCTTGCGTTATCATGAACACCTTTTCAGGTCCTTGCGCAATTGCAGATGTTTGCGCATCCACCAAAGGAAGTATTTCTTCAGCCGGCAAGCATAAAATTGTATGTCTTTTGTTTATGTGTAATCCTGTTATTTGAAAATAGAGACAATAAATCTACCTGTTATTTGATCAAATAATGGAAAACAAATCTAGTTACAATGCTCTCTTCGTTTCAGAAAATCTACTCCGGGAGAACTATATGTATCTTCGTTCGAGATGGTTCTCCATTTGTGCATAGCAGTATGCTCAAAACCTAAGTGGAAACGATTATCGTTCAAGGTGAGCCTTGTTGTTTCGTGCAGTTGTCCAATACTCACATTTTTTTTTGTTCCAGATTCTGGACGTTGTTCACTCACAAGGAGAGTTATTAAGCCAACTCATGCGAGCAGAGATCTCTTGTCGGATGGTAGATTATGCGTCAACCTTAGTGCAACATATATGGCAGAATGGTTCGTTCGTTTTTTGTTCTTGAAGGCTTTTGGGTTTATCTTTTCAAATACAACGCGAAATATTTTATTACGCTCTGAAACCAGGACTGTAAAATTGGAATTTGAAGGCAGTGGCTCGGGAAAATTGCTACTGCGAGCTTACCTACATGACCTTCTGGATGCGCGGAGTCCAGTGCTGTCCTTGAGATATCGTAAAAGTGCTTTTTAAGGCGTTTTCCTACCCTGGAGATAGCTAGAGGGGATGGGCGAGAAATTCCCGCCAACATCGTAATTGGCTGCCTGAGCCGGATCAGCCAATTACCGCCAAAATGGGTGGATTTACAGTCTCCTGCAGCCAGTCGCTGTTCATGACGAATATCCCTCGCCCATTCCCTTCAGCTATCTCCAGGGTAGGAAAAGGCTGCAAAAACCACTTTTTGACATTGCAAGCACTGAACTGAACTCAGCGCATCCAGAAAGCCATGTAGTGTGGAAAGCTCGCGGTCGCAATTTTCCCGGGCCGTTGCCCTCAAATATTGTTGTGAAATTATACATCTTGGTCTTTTGATGATTGTTATACTTTTTGACACTTCCAGTAAATTGCGTAATAAATAACATGATTCTTTCCAGATACAACCACTCGACTAGTGATAGATGCTGATTCCGTACTGAATCAACTACGAGCAAGGCCTAGCGGACCCAACGCTCTCCAGCAAGTAAACAGAAAACCGTATTCATTCCTTGTACCTGATCATCTCTGCCCCGAATACCCTTACAGAGGGACGCAAATAACAGCGTCCTAAAAGGCGAGATGATTATATTCACTGCCACCCGTAGATCTCTTTATAAAGTTGTTACCCTTGTAGGCCTGCCTGTATCTATGAAGTTTCGTTCCATGTTTGCATTTGAAAGCATTTGTTATTTGTTGCTACAAAAATTGTTGCTAATTTTCTAGGATGATTGCTCTTCGGGTATCATAATCAAAAGTCTCTCATTTTCCAATAAATTTTGAAGATCAACATGATTTCTACACCATAATCGTGACCTTGCGGAGTATCAACACTGAAAAAAGAAAGATGGACACTGAAGAAGCGTTGCAAATATAGTACTTTAGTTTGGCGCTTGCCATGTATCGCGAAGTTGCCCCGATACATACTTCGCGCGATTGCAGTCGCGACGCGTGGCGATTTGCCAGTCTTCGAACTCACCAGATGTTATAGTCTTCATTGGGACGCCATAAAATACGGAAGAGTGAGGAATATCTCCCATCATATTTCCGCCTGCCACTTTGTGTTTGATATCACGATCACAGTATTTGTTTGCATATAATATGAAGCTACATCGTAAAAGATGTTCCGACGCACAACACACTGGACTTCATGGAAAATGGAGGGGAAAATGGTGGCTAATGCCTATGTCATAGGGAGTCGCACAAATTCAAAATCTTATAGTGTGCTTCAATAGTGCGAATTAATATTGCATTGTAATTTCGGGGCAGTAACTTGGTAGTTGTCTGGGAGACAATGGGTGTTGCTGCCGTGATCTTTAGTCGGTGGAGGGCTTACCCTACCAAAAATCGAAGATATGCGTCAGGAAAGCTTCAAACTTCACTTTAAGGCATAGGGCGAGTAAAGAAAGAAAAGGAAGCGCGGATCAGTCATGGGACGACGAGGTTGCGAGCCATGTGGTCCATGGTCTACACGCGCTACAGCATTTTAGAGCTGAAAACATCCTAAACTGTACGCGTAAGTTGGTGTGAATAGACGCATAGGGACAGTATTCTACGAGCTTCCCGTGGGTCTACCTTGCGGAAAGGACATCAGCTTTCAACTTGACATTTTGCTTACAATCTAGCCCAATCGCGATCAGGCCAAAACACTGGATAGAATGCGTGTTTGGGCCAAGGGATTTGCATATGCACGCGGAAGTACTAGTGGAGACATCGAAGAAGATGTTTGAACGCGCAAGTCCTATCACCCTTCCTACAGCAAACTGGATGTGAAGTGGCCGAATATTGAATACATCAGAATTCTTCAAAACTTTGTCACAGGGTTTAAGTGATATTCTTAATACGAATGTGTTACTCATTATGCTTAAAGTATGTTATGTCAACGGTAGGAAATGATTATGCAGCGGGCTGGAGGGGGGAGAGGGTCGAATCCGGCAGTAATGTGCCATACCTCTTGCTCGAGGTTGTGAATGCTTTAACGCGAAAACAGGGATTCTACTAGAAGAGGGGTATAGAATCGGGAAGTTTGGACCTGGGCGGGATAATGGCAACCGTCTCGCTAGGCTTCACTTCCTCCAGTACTTTTCTATTGGTACTCAACCTTTATGAAACAACGGTGGACATGGGACGTTCAAAGGAACGACTCAAGCGAAGATCACCATATCCCTAATAGTCGAAGGCGGAGCTTGCTCGATGTCTTAATAGTTCCGTCTTACTGCAATGAATCCGATCACCGCTTGTTCGAGCGAATGTACATTTGGTTTAAAGCTGGAAAATGCGGCAGTGAGGCGGAAAAGAATGTCCGCCTCAGTGTCGCAAGAAGGAAGGTCGTTTATGAGGTTATGACTGGCCCATCGAGGATGATCCAACATACAACTATGACCTGTTATATAGAAGGAACCTGCAAAGTGCACCTTGACATCTGGGAAGAACTTGGAACGCTTTCTAAAGACCAGTGAGAAACTGCTCGGAAAAAGAAGAGCTTCGAACAGGATCCGAATGCGACTCATATATAATTCGTGGAAGTCCATGCAAGCAAAATCTTAAAAGCAGCCGAAGTAAGACGAAGGCAAAGATCTCTCTCGTTAACGGATCTCTGTGAATTTCACGTACGGGCTGCACTACTGAACGAAAACAGAACTCCGACTTCTTTCCGACTGAATGAAATTTATCGCGAAGAACTGCGTCATTCCCTTCGGGTCATCAACGTCCGTGCAAACGCCCGTTTTCTCACTGAGAAAGTACCACCACGGACTATTTGCTGAAGTATGCAGCGTGATCGACCATGAAAACGTCCAGGATTAGATCATCTTTCCGTAGAATTCGTGTGAGTTGGAGGTTTGAACGTCTGCGCAAAATTTCTGCACCTCTTTCAACATCTTACCTTCGCGAAAAAAGGATTACCGACTAGTACGAAACTTCAAAAAGACCTGGGCATTGCGTTGAATTCATGGGCTTGTTGTGAAGAAACGTTACCGAGCAAATATCTTAACAAACATGCGTGGCTCACAACAAAATCCATGACTTCAAAAATTGCTTTTTCCTCAAAAAGGACAAACGGGAAGACTTTTGGAACTAGCGTTAAATATGCCTGCTGAGTGTGTTGAACAAGCTTTCCACGAATATTGTCCTCACTCCATATCAAGGAGACTGGTTAAATCCCAGGTCCGAACACAAACTGACTCCACAAAGGATTCACCTGCCTGGACCACGATCCACGATCCAGATGGTTCCGAGGGTCACAGAAGTCTACCGCGGTACCGTCTGCCTCTCGTCGTGACCTTCGTTAACTACCAGAAAGCCGCGTTGAAAGCAGTGCGTCTTGCCAGCTTAGTCGATCAAGAAGGATATGAGGACATTACCCGACTCCTACAAGGATTGTGCAACAATGATGCAGCTAATCCATCGCCCCTTGACCATCCTAATTAGAAGGAAAATCCGGCAAGATGATACTTTCACGTCAAAGCTGTTTCTTGCACTGGGCAATGAGATCATTGGATCCACAATGAGAGGAAGGAGCGAGTCGATGGGAGATACCTTCCAAACCTTCGTTCTACGAACGACACCGCTTTTTCTTCATGCAATATTAGTGTAGCAGTGACGATGCAGAAGGAATTAGCGAAGTAGGGGGAAAAGATTGGACTGCGAATAAATCGCAGGAACACTCAGTTTACGAAGAAATTCTGAAGATGCGGTTAGAAGGCACTTCTACTACAGAGACGTCTTCTTATGCACCCTCAATGGGTGGAGCGACTTCATGGAAGAACTTAACAGAAAAGAGGAGCGCTTTTGGGTGGTTTTCGGGCTATGAAGGAAGCCTGCCTCCTGACGGACTCGGAAGTTCGAGCCCAACTGTTCGACTCAACCGTTTTCTTGCTCTGTTACGCGCCTGTTAACTGAGCCGGCATTGCAGCCACGTCGAAGGCTTTACGGCTTCGAGCAGCGATGGACCGGACTCATCATGAGAAGAACAGACCACATACAAACGAGCATCAGAGTGGATTCCGTGCAAAGCAAAACGCTCCAAGGACCACCAACGAGATGGATAGACGTATTTGTACAAGAGGTGAATCGGTTGAGAAAACAGCTGGATACGACTTCGACGACTGCAACTCGTGCGGGTAACACCGACGACAAGTAAGAAGATTGAGGAATGAGGGACAGAAACAAGTGGATTTGTGCTGGGTTCCGCACTACCGTACCGCCCCTTTTTTCCGAAGCGATTTTCTCGCTTCAAAATCTAATCTTCAAAATCTTTTCCGATCGGACTTGAACTGCTGCATTGATCAGGAGCTGTGCTTCCCCCGTCTTGGAAATTGCCTTCCATGCATACGGGCCTTAAAGGCAGTGTCCGGGCAAGATGGGGGTTTTGAGATTTCTCTGCCATGTGGGACTGGCCCCCCTGAGACACAACATCGCGCAACTGCGAGCATAAAACGTTCGACCTAAAGCAAGAAAAACAATTGCAAAGTGGGGAAACTTACGCCTCGGGGCGGGGTCCTCCGAGCTGTTTGAATTCCTGCCAGACGGCAGAGTACGTATGCCGCCACAGTTAAAAACCGTGCGCTCTTTGCAACTCTGCGTTTTAGCCTGGCGGGGATCCTCAAATTTCGAAATGTAAGGGCCTGGAAAGTGCATGTTCTCGCCGTTTTCGTGCTTTCTGATATGGATTTTCGGATTCAGCGTTGCGGATAACCCCAGATAAGTTGATTTTTTAAAAGTCGAGTTTCTGCCCGGACACTGCCTTTAATGGGACTGCCATCTGCAGTGTGTCCAAGATCACGCCGAACCGTTGGCTCAGATTTGTGAGCTCGCAGCGCCAGGGGTTTGCGATGCATACGCACGCTGTCGGAGAGAGCGGAGAAACTGAAGAGAGAGAAGAGAAGCAAGCACCAGACGTGACGCAGGACCCTCGCGACACGTACTTCCGACAGGCCAATTTCGGTATGAAACAGACTGTAGACGATACGAAACTGCTTTTTAAAATGTGAAGCAGCCCGACTAGCGGGTTTCTTGGGCCGGCACTAACGTTTTGAACCGATGTCTAAAAGTACCCTTTGATTCAATTGGATTGGCGGGTGGAAGGCGGGGCTTCATGACCTAGTTAAGGCTAGGAGATGATCACGAGGAAGGCGCAGACTGCCAATGCGGACGCGAATGGTCACTTTCCAGCCGCCAATCTCATTGAATCAAAGGGTATACCAGACTATGCTCCGTGCGAACGGTGCGATGCGGTTAGGCGAAAGTGATGCAGTCGCACCAATCGGCCTGTTACCTGAGGACAGACTTGCTCTCCCAGCTGAGAGAGCATCGTGTCTGGGACACGTGCGACACATTCAGATGTAGGAGAAGGATCACTTTTCACCTAAGAATTGAAAGAAACTGCTTCCCAAGAAGCCGCAAAGCACAGAATTTGTGCGCCATTTTATCCCAAATTTGCAACGACCAGCTTCGCTATCGATGTCTGACGCCAAAGAGACGTCTCCTAAAGTGCATCGACGACGTCAGACGACAGCGCCGCGGCCGTCGCCATCGCGCGACCCTTCGTCGGCCACCGTCGTCTACGGGGTGCGGATCGATTCCGGGGCGGGGTTTTCCTCCGCCGCCGACGCCGCGCACGCAGCTGATCCGAACCTCGCGACTCGCTCATGACGCGACGCGATGACGTCATCGGTGATTCTGAATCTTCGCAACGTCGTCGCACATCAGATGGAATCCACCGAACCGCCAATCTTGCTGGGAGCAGGTTTCTTCGAGTTTTCTGCGTCGGACGAACGACGTTTCTGTGAAAGGCGTTCGGCGGGAATTTCTCACTTGAACTTAGCTTGCAATGGCATTTGAGGTTCAATTTTCTTTTCGTTATGATCGTTGCCCTCGTGTGATGTTTTACAGTTCAAAAATTTTCAGTTGTTTCCGTGGAGTTTTAAGGAATGACAAATTTTTCGGCTTTTTTTTGTGAAGGCCATTTTTCTTCTACTTCCAATTTTTTTTCTCGTTTGTATACTCTGTTTAGTTTCTGTTTGGTTCAAGAGACATTTACTGTACGTCAACGCATTTTTTTCGCGCAGAAGAAATGCTCCAATTATCTATTTCTTTTTGTTTTCATTAATAAACATTTTTATTTCTTGTCACCTCGCTCTGCTCGAAATATCGTGCTGTATCTCTTTCTCTGTGAGAAAATCTTGGTTCAGCGTAAATCCGAAATTCGGAATATTGTCTTTGCAGGGCCCATATGGCCGATGAAGAACATTCACGGTCTGCGTCCTCGTATGATGGCGATGATGACTTCGTTGAAGCTGACGATAATGGAGAAGACTTTGAAGGTGTGTTTTAAATCTTGGAGGAATTTCTACCCTCGTATTTGGACCTTTTTAATGAGATAACTGGTGAAAATCCTTAGTAAAGTGTGCTAGGAAAAGGAGGAGTAGCATGCGTACACTTATCAGCTGCTTTTTCCCAGTTGGTAAATCGACCTAATTTATCGCGTTTACGTCTGTCAGCGCAACTGTTTGAATCACTTTGGTTGGAAATGTTTGGGAAGGTTTGGTTGGGTAGTTAATTGCTTTGGCTACCGAAAGAGATGAAAGAGAACCAAACAGAATTACATGATTAGACGTGCTTCACGCCAGTTTTGCTCATTTTCAAGCAAAGATCTTAACATAATAGAGTGCGCTCATTAGATAGATCTTATGTTTATCCACCTTTGGAGTCAAGATTGTTTGCTGGAGTGGTAAATACATTGGTAACCCGCTTATTCAAACTCCGATTTGTATGGCTGGCCATGCCGATACTGTCGAACAGGAGGAAGTGCCTTTTGTATGTTAGCTGAGCTCATAGCCACGCATCCGCATAAAGTATGATCAGCTCCCAGCGTCCTTTACCTAGGTGTTGTTCAACCTCTTGTTGTATTCTGGTTAGTTCCTGAGATGGCGATCTGAATGTGAAGGAAGTGCGCCTTCGGGTTTTGACAAGAATGGTGTTTCCTTTTAGGTACGTTAGATGAAGAAGAGATGCTCGGTGGCGTCGACTATGCCAGTGAACTTAGAGGTGAGCTATGACGCACATAGAGTAGCTTGTTTTCTTCAGTGTTGAGCATGTTTCTGATTTGCTCTTCCAGATCACATGTCAATAAGAGTTGTTTTTAGAAAATATCTTCGTTCCAGAATTGGAGGACGAAGGCAATATGGATATTGAAGAATTGCGAAGGCGTTATGGGTATGCGACTGAAGGTAGTGCAGAGGCTGAGGTTTGTTCACATTGGAGTGAGGCTGAGTTAATTGCTTATAGGGAAAGGTATTTCAGTGCGACAGCGGTTCTGATGCAGAAGGAAATGCGGGCGAAAGTGAATCACAAGATGCGGAAGCAAGTGAAAGCGCTGAATTTCTGCATTTGCCTTACGATGAGCTAGACGAAGGCGAGGAATCGGATGACAAAGACTATGCTCCGCCAGACCCTTGGAAGAAAGACGTTAGTGGATATCTTGCCACTTCTTAAATGAATTTCAAAAACTCCTTTTCTATAGGTGCGTGTAGATGCAGGGCGCTATCAAGCTGCTGTTCCCGAGTCAATGAACGATGAAACGTCACTGGCTTCGAGTGACAATGACAATGATTTACCGAATTTGCCTGTGGCAGCTCCTCGTGGAGCATTATGGATGCCACCCAACAACATCTCAGATGCAGAAATAGATCGATTTCTAGTGGATATAGTGAATCTACGAGCTGCACATGGTCAAATCTTCTCTGAGCGTTATTCCACGGTGAGATAATACCCAATTTTTTTTCTTGCTTTGGTCTCATGTCTGGCATTCTGGAGCATCCCGGTAGGGCTAAGGACAAGTATTTGTTTCCGGAACAGTAATGACAGCTGTTGTTTATCTTGGGTTTGACTTTCTATAACTGATTGCGCGTTTTCATGGTTTGAGGGGTTTTCACGTCTTCGAAATATGTTGCGCTTCATGTTTGTATACCTTGAAACTACCAACAATTGTCCGTTCCCTGTAGCGCCTTTGTACTTTTCAAAATCCGTCCGGTCTTTCCGTCTTACCACTTCCACTAAAAGCTTTCCTTTTAGACGAGAGACGACGAAGATGCACTGTGCGCGCTATATAGGAATCATTACGATATAGAGAAAGCAAAGGTATGTTCTGGACATTTGTATTGCTCTATATTGGAGCATTTTGCTAACGATTCGTATTCAATTTTCGTTTATTTCTTTCTTCCTTATCGTTTTCATTTACACTTTACTTTACAGTTCTTTTTTGGCAAGCCGAATACTTCCGAATTTTGAATTATCACCTAGAGCACTCAAATTGTTCCTGCTTTTTGCTTCCAAAGTATATACTATAGGCAAGGTGTAGACAACTTACCAGCCGCGTGTATTTGACTTAATCGCAAGCATTTTCTACATTGAATCTGCTGGGATCTGCATTGGGAAGTCTCGTCAACTGATTTTGCTGTCGAAGGAGAGACTACCTGGTGCAGTTAAGGTTGGATGGATGCAGAATTCACTTGATAGAGCATATAGGGTGATGTATCAATTTCGAACAGACGGCTTAACTGTGAGTTGAAAGCGCTAGTGGCTGAAATTTGTGCCGGCTCACAAACAACGCTTAGGGGCAGCTTCTACTCAAAGTTCGGTGTGGTGTGGTCAAATGCTGTACTATAGCAAGTATTGCTATACTTCGAGTGAAAATTGCCCGATAACTAAGCTTTACTGTGAAAGGTTCCAAAGCGGGGAAATGCATTTGTTTCAAAGAACTCAGAAATGTCGGGAAGTTGCTGTTGTTACTCTGTAATCCAGTATCGGACTCAATTCCCTCTCGCTCAAGTTGATAGACATCCTTTCTGCATCTAATTTCTGGAGCAATGCCTTGCTTCAGAATTTATATTTTGCAGCTGTCACCAACAAAGAAAGCGTGTATAGTGTAGCGCAATGGCCCATCAACATAAGATAGGCATCATCTAGAGCAGCTTGAAAAACTGATTTCAAAAGTGCCTTCAGTAGTTGCAGAACGGTGTGGGTCGAGAGTTATAGGCTTTGAACCATTATTTGAATTGTTCGCACTTTATGACCATGACCACTTTATGACCGTTCGATTACTTGCTGCGCAATAAGGATAACCTTTGAGGAGGACTAGACTTACGACTAATAAATTGTTTCAACTAAAAAAAGAGCACATGAAAGCTGTTTCAACTAGGTTCAATAAGACGTGGCTTTGATGGTTTTGGCCACTTTGAGTGTTGCAAATTGAAGTCAATAACTTCCGATTCGTAATCGTTCTGCAACTATTAGAGGCTTCTAAGGAGTCAGCGTTTCAAGTTGAGTTGAAACCTATCTCTCAAACGACACTGCCAATTCTGGTTCTTTTGTCAGTGAAATTTCCGCTACCGGTACTGCATTGAAAGCCATTTCCCCCCCCCCCCCCCCTCCCCCGGCCCCCGCCCCGCTACACTTCCTGTGAACGCTGCCTCAAGTGTAGAAACTTACAAGACTGAACAATGTGCACCACGTCCTCGATAGGCACCGGTAAGGTGTATAACGTTGAGGGTGAATATTGCTTGACCTGAGCATGTTTCTTTGCTCAGTACGAAAGTGCTAAGAGCGAGAATAGTGCAAAACTGCTTCAAAAGACAAATCTTATTGCAAGCAACAAAGTTGTCTTTGTTGTTCGCGATAGGATCTGTCTTATTGGAACAGTATCTGCGACGACGTAGTTTGTTGGTTATCCCACCCGCCATGAAAACGTCACTTTAGATAACGCTCGTAATATTGATGAGCTTTGTAATTGTTTGGACTAAGCTCGATTAGGCTGAAAGTGACGCTTAGGTAGGCGCCAGATTAACCGACTGCCTGCTTCAGTAGGAGGCCGCGCGACTAGTAAGCCAATGTCATTTGGCGTCATTTAGGACGGAAATCTAAGTGGCGTCTGCGATGCTCGAAACAACAGTGGTTTTGGAGAGGTGATAAAAAAGCCCTCGCGAATGAGAGTAGGATAAAAAAGCCTCAACAGTGAAAAATTTTTTGTTGCAGCGAAGTCGCGCACGAGGTCTTGATTTCCCCATAATAGACAGTAACTGCGCGGCGTCCTGCTGAAGCAAAACGATCGGTTAGTCTGGCGCCTACCTTAAACGTACAACTCTGTCACATAATCTTGTGGAGGGGGTGTTTGAAGTAATTCTTATTTCAAAAGTCGTCACTTCCAGGCATCGTTTCCCTTTGCAAGGATCAATCAACCATTTCGTACAGTTCGTGAAGGTGCGTTGGAGTGGGATCTTGCCGAACGTGACCTTTTCGAAAGAGGTATAGCGACGCATGGGAAAAACTTCTTCGTTATACAGAGAAGATATGTAAGTGTGTACTATAATCTTTGTAAAAAGTTGGCATTTTTATATCTGATAATAGACTATTTTAGTTGCCATATAGACGTGTAGGAGAGCTCGTTGAATATTATTACTTCTGGAAGAAAACGGAGAGGTTAGCGGTTTTTGTCGTTATTCTATATTCATCATAAATCGTGACATTAGGTACGAAATATTACGACGACGTGGATTTCCTGACGGCGATGTCAGCCTACCAACAGAAGCACAAGCCATGCCGGCGGTGTACCTCCAACCTTACGACAGCACCCTTCCCGAAGTTTCCGGTTATCGGACTGAAAATGAGGGGATGCTTCCCGACATGGGAAATGGTAGTTCGCAAGTTGAAACACTCAGCCAAGCGAATCTTACCGCGACTGCCTCTTCACAACCGTCAGTCGCGGCTGGTGATGCAGCTGCGACCCCCTCAGACGCCAATGCCACCGGACCCGATGCGAAAGCGACGGAACATGGCGACATTTGGTGGAATGATGACGTGCCTGTGGCACAAGTATGATCTGCATTACATATTATTGTTGATGATTGTCATTTTTTCCTTTCCAATCAATTTTGTCCCCTTCAATAAGCCACAAATTCGCCCTTTCCAACTTCATTCTTAAGTGTCGCGATCTTGATCTTTGCTGATCTGGCACAGTCTGAATTTGAATCATATAAAATTGAACAAACTGTATAATAATTTATCCTGGTGACAACTTCACTGACATCGAAAAATGAACATGATGATAAACGTTCATTAGCTTTTTTGGTAGCTCTAGGTCAGGTTATGTGGTCCTCTGAAGAGAAACTTCAAGAAAAAGTTCAAGAAAATGAACCGTGGATGATACTATCGTCCATAGTTTGTCTCACCTGAGTGATGATCTCTCTCATTCCGTACACTAATTGTAAGAAACGCTACGAACAGACTCTATGATAAGCCCTTAGAACTAGGCGTTTTGCTTACGATGAGGCCTGGCTTGCAAGTTATCACAACTTAAAATATTTATCGTTCATGCCAAGTTTTGCTGCTCAGTTTACATCACAGTGTACTTTGTTAAGAATTTATAGTGACAAAAAACTGTATAGTCAAAAAGAGCATCGCCGACGCCATGCTCCTAGTCTGTAGCCGAAAAATGCGATTGATAATTAGGAGCTTATACGTCTTGTTTCAGAGGGTAATCAGCACAACTCCAGGATGTATTCATTAACTTCAAAGAAAGAAAAACGAGTTTGAAGAAAAGAAGGTGGGAAGCCAAGGACCATCGAGGGATCATACAAAAAAGCTGGAAAATGCGGCTTGTGCAATTTCTCGCTCCTGTTCGACATATTTATTGTAAAGGGTATCAGATAAACTTGAGAATGGATAAAGTGTGAAGTTCAGAACTCCGCAGCCTTAGAAGAAGAATTTGTTATAGACTGCGAAGTCCTTCCTAGTGGGGACATCAATGTGTGCTGCCCTAGGACGTTTCCTTCGAGTTTACGATAAAGGTAGGTGCCAGAGTAAGCGAATATTTTGTTCAAGTTGGGGTCGCGCAGAACTGGCGTTATTAATCATTGTGGCACAACGCCAAGTTGGCATTATGCCACAATGATTAGTGATGCCAGTTCTGCGTGGGACCCCAACTTGAACAAAATATTCGCTTACTCTGGCACCTACCTAAGGCATTCGCCAGAGTGCCGAAGTTATGCCAGCGCTACGCCAACATTTCGATCGATACACGTGTATTTCGTTGGGGACATCTACCTGCTGAGCTAGCCCCGCCCCAACGAAATACACGTGTATCGATCGAAATGCTGGCGTAGCGCTGGCATAACTTCGGCACTCTGGCGGGAGCCTAAGATAGCTTTGGAAATGACCTGTAATCCCTGGGCAAGATAGGAAAGAAATTCGAGCTTGTACGGCAATGTCCTTATGTCCATTATGCTCAGGTATCAGAATGTGAGAAGCTTCAACGATAATTGAACAAAGAAAAACAGAGATATTACGTTGTTGGATATTTTATGAATTTTTCATTTTTTTCATTGTTTACTGAAAATTCCAGAAGCTTTCTGAAAACTCCAGACTGTGGCACTTAGAACATAGCAGGGTCTACCTACGTGATTGATGGCTCAGGTGCACTAATGACCAACAAGTTTACGGCAGCTTTCAAACGCACTCAAACTTAAAATTTCTTCTATTTTTCTCTGCACCTACTGGTCTTTTCCTTTCAGGAAGTTTTTTTGGAGTTGCATTGCATCTTACATGGAGGCATTCCGGTGCCTCTAGCGTCCCAAAGACGAGGGGAAAATATCAAAAAGGGTCTAAGAAACTTTCCACAATTTTCCCTTTTATATGCATCGGGTAGCAATGAATGCAGGGAACCTAAAACGATTTGTTGAAAGTATTCGAAGATGTTTTCTTCGTTAGAATGCGATAATTGCAAAGATGGCGTACACTAATATTTGAACGCTCAGAAAAACGCGTGTAGACACGTCTGTGTTATCCCCCATATTTGCTAAATGCTACAGTATGCCCTACCTGATTACAACATTGTCTGGGATGGTATGTGTCACTCCCGCGATCGGGTAGGGGGTTCTCGTCCGGGTCGCTACACGACCGGGCACGGGCGCCCCGCATCATTTGGGATCTACTCAGACAACTGGCCGGAACTTGCGCAGCGCTTTCGCAGGATTTCCGCAGGTGACCCGGCGGAAATCCTGCGAAAGCGCTGCGGAAACGCTGCATTCTCAGGGTACAGTGTTTCAGCAGCACTTTGTTTGGAATTTCGCAGCACTTTGCGGTTTTCGCTTTTGATTCGCGATCCGTTTCTTCCAAATCAAGCTTCTTTTTTGATACTAGGTTTTTCTTTCCAATACTAGGTTTTCGCTTTTTACTAAGGCATTATTTTTTTTGATGTGGAAATTCCTCTGAACTTTCTAGATGTTAAGAGAGTAGACAGCGAGATAGTTCCAGTGAGAAAGTAAATGGCACAGTGTATTGTTTTATGCAGGTACCATATAGAATCACTATAGGCCGAAGTTGATAATTGAAAATTAACAGACCAAAGTGTTCATAAATAAATATACATAAAATCACAGAAGCATTTGAGTATATATGCATAACCGAATAAGGTTTGAAAAAATAGCAGATATTAAAAATTAAAAAGCAATGTTATACTGATGGAGGAGTAAAGAATAAGCGACTGAAGCGCGACTGAAGCCTCCATTCCTTTCTGTAATGAGAATTAATTGAAATTTCTTGATGTAAATCGTGCCTTGCCGCAAGTGTTCCATTTTGCAACTCTTCGCCAAGAAATACGGAGCAAATTTGGACGATTTATTTAAAACTAGATGGCAAACCCGGCTCCGCCCGGGACCAAACTTTGCACACATACACTTCGGGGCAGGGAGCGTGTCATAGTCTACTTTTCTTATCGATCGATGTCGATTTTACCGATTTTTTGCAAAATTTGAGCTAGGGGGCTAGGATTTTGCACGGGAGGGTAATCGAGCATGCTGATCAACCCCTCCGGGGTGATCAGCATGCTCGATTACCCCCCCCCCCCCGTGCAAAATCCTAGCCCCCTAGCTCAAATTTTGCAAAAAATCGATAAAATCGATATCGATCGATAACGAAAAGTAGCCTATGACACGCTCCCTGCCCCGAAGTATATGTGTGCCAAGTTTGGTCCAAATCGGTTCAGAAATAAAAATTTCTATTCCGCACATACGTACAGACAGACATACATACAGACAGACATTCAGCTTTATATATAAGATTTCGGGAAATTTCAAAATCTCAACAAGTGTCGTAGCCGACGTTACCCGGCTACGACAACAAGAGAAACTCTGAGACAGATTTGAAAATCACAAGAGTTTTCTGCAAAAATCAAAGCTTCACTTGGACTTGAATTTTTTTTTGGAATTTTCAAATTTGGAGCGGCAGAACTTTTGTTTCATTCTAATATTCCAGCATTTTTCACACAAAACAGGTATGTGTCAGACTCTAAGGCACGTATGTGTAAGTGAAAGTTATTATAAATTATTGTCAAATTTTCATAAATTAATACTTAGAAAATAATACTAATGAACCAAAAGCTCGTCCCCATCCTCTTCAAAAATTCGAAACTTCCTTCACACACGTTCTGCACATGTTTATTTTGAAAGAAGACATGCTCTTTCTAATGGTACCTGAGGCACTTTTTGATGGCTCCAGAGATCGAAGTCGGTGAAGAAAATTACTCCATTTCAACATTCCCCATGTTTGGTCGCATAACCTGCTTGCAGAAAATCGGAGCAATCGGTGTCATAACTATTATTACCTACTCTTTTTTAGTGTACAAAGACTGCGCTGATTGAGCGTCTCTTAAAAAGTTATGATTTTTGAAGCCTAAAAAAGAGTAAATCATGATTTTTGGGCATTTGCTTCGAAAATCATAACTTTTCATAAAGAGATTCAATCAGCGCAAACTTGGCACAGTCAGAAAGAGCAGGCTATAAAACCTGTAATGCTCCGGTTTCCGTTGTAAGTTTCAGTTTTGCGTCCAAACGCAGAAATTTTGAGAATGGAGTAATTTTCTTCTCCGGCTTCTATCTCTGGAGCTTGCTTCCATTGAAAGGTACTTCAAGTAGGTACTATTGGAAAACGAATTCGAAAATAAACATGTGCAGATCCGTTGAAGATGTAAGAAGTACTTGGGAGAGAGAAAAGCATTTAAAACAGCAAAAATAGAGGAGCAGAGAAGGATAGATACATTAAAGCAGTGGCGGTGCAAGAAACTTTTTCAAGGGGGGGGGGGGGACAAAAATTATTTGGGTTTGTGGGCAGCCGGAATGGATGAATTTTCGTGGTTCCAGTTCTTGTACGCCCTCGATTTTTTTTAGCAAAAAGGGGAGTGGAGTGAGTCACACCTTCGAGAATTGCCTAGACAAACTACTTCAGAGTTTAGAAGAGCTTTGATCTTTTTATCTACAGTCGCAGACTACTACGAATATTCTTGAAACCCATTATGCTCCGCTCCTTTCTTTTGATATATTTCTACCACATTACTTCTAATTTATTTACCTCATTCAATACTATTATTTAAAAATAATTTCGAATTTCTCGAGCTACTATTTCAAATCGTAAGTTTTGAATCCTTTATCTTTGAATCAAGAATTGTTATTTCGTGATGTGTACGGTATTGTGAGAGATAAAAGATTCGAAAATCAAAAGCAGAGGGTAGAAAAGGATAGACACACGAAAAGCAGTGGCGGCGCGAGAAATTTATTTAAGGGAGGGGAGGGATTGAAAGTTTTGGGTTCGTGGGCGTGTGGCCACTTCCAGCAAAAGAAAACTCAGGAATGGTTGAATTTTTGCGGTTACAATTTTTGTACCAACTCGTTTTTTTTTTAGCACAGCTCCCTTAGAAATGTCCACAACTATTAGGTGGGACCAAAAGTACGTTCGCCAGTTTTTCAGAAATTCATAATTTCCTTTCAACTCGATGGATCTCTTTGACTTTGTATTCATCCAAGAGAGGAAATCATTCTCTTCACAACGGTATCTCTGCCATGGATTGGCTTAAGAAAGTTTGCGAGTTAGAAGCAATTGCAGAAAATTTTTCAAGATTGGCATTTTTCAAGCAGGGTCACCAAAATTCTGGAAGTATTTTCGAATAGTGCCTTTTCCAAAAACAAAAAAGATTTAGAATTAGAGGCAAATAAAGAGAATACTTCAGTTTTGCAATTTTTGAGCATGCTCAAAAATGCCCAAAAACGTCACAGAAAAGACGGTATATTCATGAACATGGGTTTTGTGACCTTCTAGTTGAGAGAAATTCGTGTCAATCGAAAGCAATTTTGATTTTCGTAGAAAATCAGATCCGAAAACAGAAAAAAATCAGATCCGAAAACTTGGTAATATTACGAAACAAAACTGCTCTCGATTGGCACGAATTTCTCTCAACTAAAAAGAGAAGGTCACTAAACCCGTGTTCACAAGACTTTCCCGCCCCTCCCGACGCAAAACTGAAGTAATTCTTATTTGTTTCTAATTCTAAATCTTTTTTGTTTTTGGAAAAGGCACTGTAGTAAAGAGCATAGCTTTTTCTATCGAATAATACTTTCAGAATTTTTTGGTGATCCTGCTTGAAAAATGCCAATTTTGAGTAATTTTCTTCAATTGCTTCTAAGTTCCGAACTTTGTTATGCTAATTCATGGCAAAAGTGCTGCTGTAAAGAAAATAAT